TTCAACATTCACAACTGCTCGACCTTTACATGACTAGATGAGAGCTTTGAAATATTCACATCTTGATAACAGTTCATAAACTGCATTAAAGGTTATCTGGCTTATCGTTTCTTTTGAAATGCTACAAAACAATTACATCTATTGATCGCTGCTGCTACGTTTATATTTAGAATAATGGCAAACTTGTTGCTGTCGACAATCTTAATTTCTGGCTTTCATGTTGATTCAAATCGAATCAATGCGCATCCATCAAATCAAAAATGAAGCTCACGACAAGTTCATTAAGCAACCACTAATGCCTATTTAAATATAGGTTGTCTACAAATTTAAATAGTGGAAGTTCTAACAGAGTGTCGAAAATTGAGGAAAGTATTTTTGAATGAATTGGAAACTACACACATGAATTATGAAGACCATAAGCAAATCCATAAGACATTCCTCAAGTACGCGGATAATTGCTGATTGATACCCTCCCGTATCATTTAGCCTCTTGTCATATCATGTCCAGAATATGTAACACCCTTAAATCTTTGAATAGGTCACTGCATTTGGAAATATGAGAGAGAGATAGTTACCTAGCGACGAAACCGCTTAGAACTGACTACCCTACAGAGAAGCGGTTTTCTGTTGACATACTTGATGTTAGGTTAGAATAATAGTAGTAAATGACCGAAAACTTAATCTTGCAAAAAAGTGCACTATCTAAAAAAAATTACAGGCCACCAAATCTCTATGTCAAAATAACAGATCATTCGCGCCCCTTTCAATCCCCTGTAACAATTGACTCAGACTGGGTGGTACGAACACTGATGCTACGTTACGTCATTCTATGGTCGGTTCTTTTATGTGTTGGGACGTGAGACACCATCGAGTACGTAGCTTGGTACTGTAAAGTCAACCAAGACCGAAATCCACAAAAATATTCCGCAAAAGAAAAAAAATCCTGACGTTAATTACGAAAACACTTTACCACCTTGTATCTAAAAAATTAGAACATTAAGGAGCTACGTTCATAGGAAGTTTTTTCCATAATATGGGTCCAAGAATCACCCCCTTAAATCCTTAAACAACCCTTTATTAATAAATTTTCGTCTACTTTAGGTTTGCGAAATTTTTTGTCTTTAAGGAACACCCTGTATAGATCTGCTATGTCAATGTTTGAATTGAAATTGATTTTTAGTACAAGGTGATCGACACGTAGTCAAAGAAAATGTAAAGGGCACGTTCAGACTAATCTGTAGTAGATAACAACACAAAACAAATAAATAAAAAGAGTAGTGAATAAAGCGGCACATAAAATATTGCGTAAGCAGTGCTACTCTCTGACACGGAGGCAATCAGATATAAACACTGTAATTAATACTGAATAAGAATCAATAATTTGAATGCATTTACACTAGCAAAAGCAAAATTTTGACCGCGGATTATCCGTCGGCGTATAATAATGGCATAAACGTGATGTTAAATTTAAGAAAAGTACTTTCCGATGCACAAATAACTAAATTTCTCTTAGTCCAATCGTTTTAAAACACAACCAAGATAATATATATGAGGTAATACTTCGGAATAAAACAAATAACGTAACTAAAGCTTGTAAATGTCGGCTTCGGACAAAGCCTCCGCAACACAAAAATAATAGTAGGTAATGTAGTTCTCGATAAGTATGTTCTTCAGCAACGACACAGGTAATATAACTAAAATCCGATGTATCGAAACAATTTTCACGAGTAATGTTCTCCAACCGCTTTGTTAATGCTTTCGATTGTAATTCAGAAACAATTATCGAAATGTAGGTCTACAAACTGTATGTGTAAGTAGGTCACAGGTAGAATTGAAGTAGAATTTACTTAGCCGGTAATGTAGAAACTCATCTATGGCGTGCTTCAATCAGGTAAGATGGCGGTGGACCTTCCCAAATGCATTTTTCTTGCGTAATATTGAGAAAAGCCTAAAAGTGATTATTCAACGTCAAAAGGAAATTGGTAATTTTCGTTAATATACCGGAAACGGTCTTAGAAATATATCTGAAAATGCGTCAGCGAAGTGTCGAAAGCAAAATAACAAGAGAAAACTTCAGTAAACTTATACAGCACCCGTAAAAGGCTGACAAAAATTGTCGAGTAACCGTAATGAAGTGTATTCTAGTACAAGTAATGATCGAATCTCGTCTTTGTACAAAGAAGTGCGTGCACCAACAGAAATTAAAGAAAACTCCGTACGACCTCTGTCGGCGAAACAGAGAACGTAAAAGGAACCAATAATAAGATAATAACAAATTTACTACAGGAATTAAATTACATCAAAAACTAGTAAATTACAAACGAAAAACCACGGATCGATTCTTTAAGGAAAATCAAACTTGTAACAAAATTATTATGCAAATTCCCAAAAATAATCGACCACACTTTTCCAGGAACAAAATAATTTAAAGTGACTTGCAATAATTTGACGTGGGTAATATTTTCTCCTGGTAGCTATCAATCTTATCTCTCCTTGCTATGAGTCATCCTGTCAGTCAGTTTTACCTTTCTCCTTTTATGCTTAAAGTTAAACTCGTCGGTAGCTCATACTTTGAAACACATTCGACATCGTTCAAATGTTTACCAACAACGTAATTGAAGTTTTTTTTTAAAACGCGCCAGTAAACAAAAAAATTTCTTTTCTGGTTAAAACCCCCTTTACAACTCGATCTCGCTAGCTTTTTATCTCGAAAATTCACACTCAATTATTGAAGACCATACTTTCGTTCACGTTCGCTATGAAGCGGTATACATATGTGTAAATTTTCTGATGTTCAGAAAATTCAAATTTGTAAATAAAACTTTTGAAAACCGCTAGCACCACCGGTTACAAACTCCATAATAACTTCGTTCACGAATGAATAATTTAAAAAATATCATCTTTAATGGTATGGATAAATGCAATATTATAGACAACTATGATTAGATTCACTTGTAAATCTTATGGTAATGAAACTGTTCATCGAATTAACAATAATACATTTGTATAGCACTTTTCAGCCAGAAGCTTACTAAAAGAATATTTTTGCTACCTTTATCTAAGGTAACGTGTTGGTGTAGGTACTTTAATACATTTCTATTTGTGTTCCTCGTTGAAGAAAATTCAACCCTGCTAAGCAGTGAGAAACAACGGTGCTCTGTTAGCAGCGAGTGGTTACGTACAAAGTTCAAAGTTGCGGTAGGTCTTACCCTGTTTACAAATGTTTCGGGAACACACGCTTTGTGACGATTTTATAATTGAACCTAACATTTTCAACCTTTCCAATTTTTACCATGTAACCCCATGATAAACAAATAGTCCGCTGTCAGTAATATCACAGATCTACACATACACAGATTGCTAACCTTATGCATTTTTTGGGAAACAAATTTAGGTATACTTAAAAGCGCCCTCTATTGCGGAGCAGTATAAACATGTACCGTTTAAAACTGTAATATGACGCTTATGGGTTTATGCGTTAGATGTCGCTGAAACAAAATTAAAGCGCTAAAGTTTGCACAATTCGAATTCCTTAATATTCGTATTATTACAGTGGTATGATATGATAGGAGGTACGTTGAGCCATAATTGTTTAATTTAGCACTGGAGCTACTCATTCGTCGTAAGGGAGTTATTAACAGCGGGTCCCTGTGGTCACAGATACACACGAACATAGGGCAGGTCCTTAAAGAATCGTGAAGGTTTTTTGAAGTTGGCGGAAACTATTTGCGGCTTTAAAGGTCTTGACAGATTGCTAACCGCAAAGGCATACTTACAAACTATGTATATCTCTGCCATCATTAACGTTACACTCTTTACCACGCCGATAAGATATAAGATAGGGAGGTTATTTTCGAAAAGTTGATAGTTTTCGAGTTGTAAGCACAAAACTGCTAAAAAAAATATCTTTTTCAACTTTTTTGTATTTTTTTGCGTTTGTTGCGTCATGAAATTTTGTTAGCAAACCTAAGATTCGGATTCAGCACCCCAAAAAACATATAGAATCAAATAAATCAAAACTACCCCACAACTTGCCTGGTAAAATACAATTAAACTGAATTATATGCACACTTTACCGCTTAAAATTTTTTGCAGCGACATCTAATGCATAAATACATAAGCGTCATATTACAGTTTTAAACGGTACATGTTTATACTGCTTCGCAATAGAGGGCGCTTTTAAGTATACCTAAATTTGTTTCCCAAAAAATGCATAAGGTTAGCAATCTGTGTATGTGTAGATCTGTGGTAATATACACCCTCGATAAGTACATATTCAATCTACAACCATAATATATATTATACTACAACAATAGACAACATATATTGTCTGTACTACAACTTAATGTCTCGTAGTGTGTAAGAGGCGTTTAAGCTTGAACTATAGTTCAATATGCAATCTTGATTTGTAACTTGCTTCCACTTTGAATATGTGTGTTCTGCGATTCTGTCACAGTTTCCCACCATGAAGTTACCGAATGCAAATTTGTGGTGGGTATAAAATTAAAGTACTTTGCCATTAGAGAAAGCTGCGATCTGAGAGATGATGGGAGAACGAATTGCCAACTATGATCTATAGTAATTTTTTTCACAGAAGCAGACCGCAAAAAAGTAATCAGAAAGAAGTTGAAATTTATAAAACAATAAATTCTCGCCGATATGTCTAACCTATCAATTTCCTTCAGATAGGGTACTAAATAAAATTTGGTATCTCGCAGTGAACCTTAGAAAACGCATGTCATTTTATGTCAAGGCATTAGCTGACGTCATGCTATCTATTTTTGTCATTCCCACTTTGGCATACCTAAATATAAATGACAAATTAGTTTTTTCGCGATATTGATTTACGTTAAGCAATAAAGTTTACACCCCCGACTAGAGCCGGATTAGATATGATTAAAATTGTAAATCTCTCAATGGAAAATGGGTAAATAGACTCACGTACCTACGTTTATTAAATTTAAAACAAAATCCTAATAATAGGTAAACTTACTGCGGACGATTTAAATTAAATTTTTACCGCAGTACTGCTTTCGAACGGTAGGACGTAATAGTAAAGTTTACTTCACTCACGGGAAAGTATGATTTATAATTTCCGAGGTATAACGTTGTTAGACGTACTGCAGCTAACTGTATGTAATTTAATTGTAAACAACTACTAGACAACGTCACGCTAAGATTAAAATTTGTGATACACCAAAACGTAACGTGAGTGCTTTGCTTCCTTATTACGTAAGTTATTACGTATTTCTCACTGTCGCAACTTATCGCGTAGGGATTATTCTGTAGGGTACCGTGTGCGTGTTTAGTATAATAAAAATCGACTGTTGAAGCAGTTTTGAAGAAAAAATGGCTATTAAAAAAAACTGAAACCGTAGCGTCTCGTCATTGAAAGTGTTTTACTCGTCTACTTTGTAATAACCTACCTCCCATCTACAGTATGGCTCGGTGGTGATATCCCTTAAAATCGTAATAGATACACGGTAGAGATCTACGTGTCTGTTTTTATTGTCTTAATTTCGAGAGGATTTGAATAATAAATGATTCTTTTGATACCTTTACATTTCTGGCTTTTCTCTCATTGCACAACTCTAATGAGAATCTCTCAATACAATTTTGTTTCCAAAAGCTTCAAGACCTACATGACGTAGTTACTTATATGTATCTATACATCATCTATAACCTATTAGATTAACAGTAACTTTTTTAATATTCCAATAAAACTGTCACTTTTATTGCGTTATTAAAATCGAGCTTAATTTACTCTAAATGATTCTTCCGTTCCACTAAAATTAGAACCAATCACAAACTATATTATTTAACGTCACATAATATTATGAAAGTTTATTCGTTTCATTTTAATTACGTAGTATTTATAACTTTAGTAGGTATACGCGACCTGGGAAAACTATATCTGAGTTTTACTACGGAATATATACCTACCCTTTATTATTTATGCACCCCACTTAATGATACACATTTCTTTTACGTGACATTTCTAAATAAATATTCTATTTTATGGTTAGTTTGATTGATTCCCGGTTTCTTATTGGTAATACGAGAAATAGTTTTTATACTAGGAAAACCGGGAAACATTTTCACTTGAAGGTATTTTTATATTCCATTTCTTTTACGAGTAGGTGCATTTCGAAAAGTTAAATCAAACACAGTTTTTGATTAATGAAAGCGTTTTGCATGCAACTATGCAGTAAAAAGAAATGATTTAAGTTGACGTGTTCTCTTCGCTATATATGCAAACTTATTATGTTTAGTCAAGGCGTTTGAAAAATAATAACAAACAAGAACTTATTTAATCGATTTGGTGGGGATAACCGATGGGGTACATTCCTTATTGGGAGTGTGTTTCATTTTTTTGACTTTTACTCTACAAATAGAACGTATCTTATTTTAGATTTACAACATTTCAAGTACCTATACGTAACAAGTGTGTATTGAATTAATGGCTGTAATTAAGTTTGTGGATCTTTGGAGACGAACCGCTTAATTAAATTCCTTAAGTTACTAACGTATAGACACCCACGTTTATCTATTAATTACCGACTATTACATTCATTAAATTCTTAATTTGTTTGGAAACCGTACTCAAAACTGTGCATTGTTCTGTTTGCCTTAATTATCGAATTTATCGTAACGTCAACAGTGAGCTAACTAATTTGATGTTTATGATTTTGAAATGAAATTTTGATTGATCAGTTGTGTCGTAAGCACACCAGGTGAGATTTTGGGGAGGGAGGTGAGACGTATCTTTTACGTGTCCTTACGGCTAACAGATTGTTGTTGTTTCCAGTAACTTACCCTTACATAGATTAGTTCACCCATATCATTATTATACCATTTATTACTAACATTACAAAAATGATTACATAACTTGCTTTTTTTAAACCTGTGCGTACACTTGAACAGATCCATGTGGATTTCGCACAATTTAACCTAGTCGCCCTTGTGAAGTATTTAAAATTACTCGTTTCAAAATCGAATGTCAATTAAGCTTGCATTGATTTTTGTCATTTTGTAGCGAATGTACTAGAAATCCAGAGAGACATCGGGCCGTCATCTAGGCGCCATCAGATCGTTAAAATATTAACCAGCGATAAGAAATGGAGCCGGATGTGATCCGTTCAGCAATTCTCGAGAAGTTCTGTGAATTTTCTGGAAACTTTTGGTCTGCTACATAAACAAATTGAATTGTGTTCAAAAACAGTTCCAACATCGATGTAGAAGTAATTAATAATGACGTTGGTGTATTTATAGTATATTGCATAATAAGTGTGCTAAGAAGCCTATTTCGCACGAGTATTTTGCGACACGAGCGAGCGCAGCGAGCGAGTGTTGTAATAAAATCGAGTGCGTAATAGGCATTAGCACTCGAATTATGTACTATACTTTTTCTACGACTGGAATATATTTGATAAAAGATTGATAGATTACGATCGATTTGGTTCTAAATATTCGAACTTTGAACTAAAAATTAGAACTGTCAAGTGTCAAATGTCATGGTCTATTTAAAAGGAATACAAAATACAACGTAACCTCACTTATATTCCATGAATGCACGCCAGCGAGCAAGAATTTTATAAATACTTTTTACTTAGATTGGAAAGTGTATTGCAGGGTTTTGACATCCCTATTCCTTACTGCAATGTGAGTTTCATTTTAGCACCATAGATGCAATAGCCAATAGGATACAAGATACAAGTGTTGAAGTTGAAGATTACTACCTAACTAGCTCAGGTGGTGTTAGTGCTCTTTTTCATTACAGTTTTGAACGATTTCTATTGTTGTAGTTGCCAATGTATTAGGTACCTAACTATCGATAATACTAAGGCCTTCAAAACGCTGCGTCTTTTAACGAGTTTTCCCGGGAAGGAAGCATCGAACTACCCAGTATTCTAAAGTGCATTATTCCGTGTTCCATGCAAGTCGTAATTAGCACCATCCATTAATTCTACGAGTACTTATTGTAGTTTTCTAAAATACAAAATAGTAGCAACAGAGTTTGCTTAATTAACTAAACGCAGCTTCAAACCATTCTTGAGTAGCCCATTGCGATTATGAAAAATAATTGGGCACGGCTAATAAATTACATACAGGCTCCATTCCCATACAAATGGCAATGTTTAAACAAATTATGAGTAATTCTGTTCAAAGAAGTTTGCAAAATGTGAAACATAACCTACAACAACAAAATCTGACGTTACTTCATTCATTAGGCAGGGCTGACAACCTACTAAATTAACATTTCGCGTTTGACCTTTAACCTGTTACGTAATATATATATATTAAGTAACAGTTCTAATTTTCATTATGCAACCGTATGATATAATGAACGATTTAGACGTGCAGTACAGGGTGACATTTTGGGTATGTTTACAACATAGGAGTAGAAAAATAAATTTACATGTTATAGGTAAGCCAATTAGTTTCAAAGTGAGCAGGTTATTTCATCGATAAGAAATAACGAAGATGTGAATCGTGACTTGTTCGATGATGGACGTTAAACGTTGCTGGTTTCTTGGTGAATTTGCCATATTTGAGCATATTATTCCAAGAGAGTTCGGCTTGCCAGTCGTACAGTTCCTACAGAAGAAAGTTAGTATTTTATTCCCTCATTTAAAGTAAAATGCTTAAGTCGAGTTAAGCACAATCGTGTTTTAGCTTTACGACGAAGTTTAGTCGAGTGTTATGTTTATCGAGCGTGTATCGGATAAGGAAGCATTTCTTTAAGGTTATTCCGGTACTCGCTAAAGGGAGTTTTTTCCACCATAAAAGAACCAATTTTACATCTCTAATTACAACGAACCCAGTGTCTAAATAGAAATTTAAGTGTAGTTGACTTTTGTTTGTGGATCATTTAATGAATATCGTAGTTACGACCAGATATTTTGGATTACTAATACATAACGTTTCAATTGATCGCTCAATGTGAGGTATAATATGTACCCTGGTCCTGAATCCCTATTTTAATTTCAGCCTTATTGATTGATTTCATCTAATAAATTTGTTGTGTTTAATTGATCCCAAATAACGACCCAGCAAATAAGAATTAATTTAATGTTAAATTTATCTGTGTTTGATTAAAAATTGGTATTACCATTCTTTGGAATTGTGGAGGTGAGTAAGGCTGCTGAGTTTTCACAAATTGATAAAATTAAAGTCCTATCGAGATTTTTAGTTGTGACGAATGTTGACAGTGTCCTGGAAAGATTATACTTAATTATTTCACACAACAGATTTTGATAGTAGCTGTGGTTAATTGAGCTAGCTGGACAAGTGTTTGTGGGTGGTTTAGTGACGGTTTGTCATTGCATATACAATTTTACCCCGATTACTGACAATAAACTGAAGTTTACACGCAAATGGCAATACTACATAGACAAAATACGCGCAAGTTAAATTTTTACTATTACAAATTGCTAGAACGATGATCATCGAAGGTAAAACCAAAGAAGTTCAAATTATCTTAAATGAAATAGTAATGGATACGTTCAAAGTGAAGTACAAAATAAATTAATCGCATTTATGACTCATTCATATTCCCACTTTGTTTTTTGTATGGCCCTCCTCCCGAAGTGAGGCTTTTAATTAAATAAACTTAGAAGCACAATAACCTCCAAACTACTATAATAATAAATAAACGACTTAGCTCCATTTAATGGACGGTACATGAATGAAAGCGACCAGCTTTAGTGAACACCCGGTACATGGAAGAACTTAAAAGGGTTTCTTTATCAGAAACTGTAATTTCCGGGCCTATTTTTTTCTATGAGTTGAAAATAGAAGGTAAAGGCAATTGTCTTAAATTGCGGAATCGTTTTAGCCACCGATAAGGAAACCGGGATGCCGCATCTAATGAGTCTTCTAATTATTCTGGCAGCATCCGACATATCTCGACATTTCGAAGATGAGGGATAATGCATATTGTACGATTTCAGTCTACATTAGTTATTAACCGATTTTAGTTTCCCAATGCTAAGCGAAACAAGCATTAAAACTAGAAGACCGTGCAGCTTATTTAGTTACGGCAGACCTTTTGCCATTGATCCGAAATTCCAGGCAACAACGGGTATCAATACATTAGTCAATCGAATGTTGGAATTTTAAGTCGCCAGAGCTGTAACGAAAACCTGTTTTTCACCTGGAAAGTGATCCCTACTGTAGAGTTATCGAGAAGCGTTAAGCTGGGCGCTTCGTTACTAAGATTGTCGCTGATTTAGGAGTTGAAGGTAGAAGGCAAAGTTAATTGATCTAATTTATAGAGTTGTGTTTCAACCGCCGCTGCCGTAACGAACGTTGCAATCCGCCTTTTTTGCCAGTGAAGAAAAGAGAGAATCAATCTTATTCAGTTTGAAGTCCATTAATTACCCATTAATTGATTTTAGTTTTCTAATGGTATACGAAAATCAAGGAAAAGGACACTATTGGACTGTCGAATTTGGGAATCTCATTCTGACTATTTGGAGAAGTATAATTAACGATTAACTAAATGAGTTGCACAAACCCGTCCGATTGAGCTGGGATATTAAAAAACTTGAATTTTGACACCAGTCCCGTAAGTTTAAGACGAAAAGGAATGTTTTGCCATTTTTCTTGTTGTAAGTCCATTAAATTTTGAGCTATTCCGTAAAGTTATTTTGCATTCAGACCGTTTAATTTTTGCTTTTACATTAAGTTTACCGCACCGTATCTACACCTTTTGCTTTTTCATGCACAGTAATTGCTACCGCTCCGTTAATTGCATAGTAAACTTTTTGATACTTTCCGTTTCCGCAATTATAAGGGGGAACATTGTCTCGCTTTCCCGTAGAAACCGCTACCGAGTCCGATTGTTTACTGTTCCCGCTTAGGGAAATTGATGTGCGCTTTAAGTTATCATGTATCCGGCCAGCGCTTGTCCTTTATAATTCCTAGGACCACTGATCCCCATTCTAGTTATCTGGAGCTTATCATCGTCGACCGCATCTTTTTCAGAAGGAAGAGAAACTGAAACCTTTTGGTGGCGCCCGAAGTACTTCCGTTCCGCCGTTTCCTGCCGTCTTTCTCCGACTATCGCCGCCGTCACCGTTTACAAATTTTGATTTGCAGATTACCGCTGGGTTTTCCTTTTGCTTACTTTCATTAAATTTAGATTTTGCAACACCTTTTATTTTTTTGTGTAAAGGAGAAAAAAATGGGTTTTTAGTCTTTGAAGTTTCTTAAATTTGGATCTCCATAGGTGCGGTCATACGCAACTTAACTTTTTTTTAAGTACACTAAAAGAAAGCCTTATGCAATGGTGAAAATGGGTTACCATAACTACAACTGTTTTCAAGTAATGAATTATCAAGGTACCGTCTGCATCCGCCATTTTTTTATTAAAGTCAAAATAACTTAAAATTAATCAGTTGTTAGATATCAACATGTGAGTATCAAAGGAACGGAACGTAGAATTCAAAAATGCAATAAAAAATAGGGATTAGGTACTATTGAAAATAACGAAGTTACAAGCTACTTCCGGTACTTCCTGAAGTGCGTCAATTTTGAAAATATTTTACATCGATTCGGTTCTAAGAGTAACTTCCAAGTACAAATTTTCAAAAACCTACCTATTTCACTTTCCCAGAAACGTTTAACTAAAACTACCAAAAAAACACCCTCATATATGATTCCTTTTTTTATATATCTTCGTGTACAGTACTTGTAATTTGGTAGATATGACATGCTAAAGGAAAAGACAAACCTATACATACGTGCAAATTTGCTTATTTACTTATTTATTTCTATTTTGTACCGCTTAGTACCTAGTCATTGTATATCACAAGGGTATTTAGGGTAGTTCGTGCTATTTTTCAGTTTCAATAATGGTACCATCTACATAGCCATGAGTTGCCATTCCCCCACCCACTCCGTTTCTAGCAGTAATAAAGCAAAAGTAGGAGAAGAAAGAGTAACCAAGAACCTTTGAGGAATTTACAATTAATTTTGCAATTTGCACTTTTAGGGTTGATAGACTAATAAATCGTAAATACCTTGATAGTTATAATGAATAAATAATTAACCGCAAAAATGTACTAATAATTTAATTAAAAATATAATATACGCAATAATCTGAAGGCAATAAAATAATTTAATACATATTCATTAGAAAAAGACAACCTACTCCCTCGTCAATTTTGCAAAAAAAATTCGCTCAGCACGTACAAATAATTGGCACACTGTTTTGTCGATTTACTTTGATTCATAAATTTCAATTTAACGTTTATAAAGAATTTCACCATGCCGCCCCCTGTCGAATAATATTATTTCAACAGCTCAAATTATTCCATAACATAGATAACATACAAATTGATGTAATACTTAGATTATACGAGTGGGAATTTAATAATAATAAATATTATAACTAAAATAATTCGACATAGCAAATAAAACAAAAACAAACGGTAGATGTGTTAAGATTGACCATATACAGTTTTCTTCTTATTCGCATGTGATACAAACCTAGAGATACATTTCATCTGGCTCGAAGGGCCAGATCTATATTTCAGAACAAAACCCGTTTTACTTTCTAGTGATGTTATAAAGATTTATAAATATTCTTCCGGATGTTATTAAACTGACAACAGACTTTAGTCGGTGCTCGTTACGTTTCGCGACTTAATGAAATTCCCTCGTATAAAGAAATAAATTTGAAGGTGCACACGATATTTCTTAAAATTGATTTGTGGGCGTTCCATCTGATAAACCAATTACTGTTATATATAGTGATACAACGTTAAATGTGACTTAATCAGTAGCTACTCAAACTGTAATGGTGTTCTCTAGTGTCCCTTTCGGTTACTCCCTCGCACTCATCTTTTTCGTGGGGACACATATCAAAGTAAGTACCTATTTAAGCAACAATTAATACTTTTCTTAAATTTGAAAACTAAGGGTGGTATATACTGAACCCTTCAAAATTCAATATGTAAATTTTTAGTTCAATATTCGGTTCATTCTAGTAGATTATTTGGTTCCCAAAAGTAATTTTTACCGTTTAACAAAACAACAAAATTATTCCGGAAATATTACAATTTGTTTGTTTATTGTTGACAAAAATTCGGTTTTCAAGGACGTAAATAAAGGTCGTGTAGGTATCGCCCACTCAGGAATGTTAAGGTATGAATTAGATTCACGCCAAGTTTTATTAACAATTACATGGCGTGCAATATAACCTATCAATTAAATTTCTCGACAATGTCATTTAAGAAATTATTAAACGACAGCGTTTCTTTTAAGATTTATTGCTATTTGAGAATTTATAACAACTTGTTGTTATCCTTTATGCCACCTAAGGTCCAAATTCGGAAAAACGGATCACTTATTCTCGTGGGTAAACGAAAATTTAATCAAAATTCGATTAAATTCGATGCCGCTGTTTCAATTATTAAATAATGAACTTAGTAATTACGTTTTTAAACGCTACAATTGTAGAGCTGTATCGGAAAGATTGTAATTAAACTATTACCTTGTGAAATTAGTATAAAAAATTTTTTAGGATGAGAATGGAAGTGGGACAGGGTATAGGTTTTAATCGCTTTTGCTAATTAATTAACAGTGTTTGCATTAAACGGTGGAGGTTTCGTAATGAGTTAATAAGACATCGAGTAATTGTTTTTAGGTATTAAAACAAGAGATAATTGCGTGTTATTGTTATGGTTGTAAATTTTGATGTTTAGTGTGGGCTTTATGGTTTCTGCCGCTTTTAATATTTTGCAATGCTTCGCTCACCTTCTGCTGGTAATTTCCATCAATTAAGTCAGTATTCATAGGAAGCGTGTAATATGGCGATTTTAAAAGGCGGCCCAATATTGATAGGACCGTAGGAAAATTATATAATGGAAGCTGTCTGAAAATTATTTCCAGTGTCCATAGAATTATTGAATACATGCATTACATCTCTATAAGTTCATTAAAAATCCAAATGTGTAAATTTCTTTGGATGGACGCTAGATAAACTCGCTGTTGAGAAATATATAGAAAGCAGAACAGCTTTCGGCAAATTTTACGTCTTCTTTTCATTTGTGACCAACATTGACATTTCCACACCTGATCAGATGAAGAAATGAGTACAATTTTTGTTCTCGACGTTCCAATCGTCTTAATACTCCACACCTATCCTTAAAGGATAGGGCTCAAATACGACTATAGGTTGATTTGCAGAAACTACAGGAACGAAAATAAATACGTAAACCATGGAGGCGCAAAAACTACTGAGAAAATCTGCGTACATCAAAATTGCATGACTATAGACGAGGGAAATAAGGAAAAAAAGTTGTACATTTTTGCAAACAGCAGAAAAATTAGGTACCATACTGGTTAAGCCTTTTTTTTTAAATTGCATAATGGGTGCAAACATTTTTTTATTATTGAATATCTAATATTTATAAACATGTATGAAAAGCCCCAAAAATCGTTTAGAAAACGTTACTCGTGGGTTTTCGGGGTCCAAATCTACTCTAGAAATTCTCCGGAGATACCCAGGAGTGGCAATCGGAGGAGGCGAGGGTCAAAATCAATTGCCCCAAACAATTTCTTGTCACAGTTAATTTTCCACTCCACGAAATTAAACGAATATGATTGAACCAGTATTGTACAACATTTTTCTTCGTATTTTTCTGAACAATGTGCCGAAAAACACATTTTCATACGAACTGTTTGCAAAAATTTACAACTTTCCGGAAAAATCAAGAAGTTACGCAATACAACGAATGCAGCATCAGATGGCACGTTCGTCTAACTTATCCTGCGCCTAGTTACTGGCACCTACAAATAATTAAGTGTAATCAAATAAAGTAGAAATTATAAGTAATCGTGCGGAAACTATGCCGTGAAGAACAATTAAAATAGTATCACAAAACACATTGTATATTTAATTCAGCAGATATACCTAATAATGAATGGTTTCGTAAGAATTTGGGCACCGCCTGCTCAGAAACCTCCAAGTCCATTGCACTTTATTCCTTTACGTGGGAAAGTTAAAAATAAATAGTTGACTGTGGCTGTAGTGCTTTAAATAATTGAGGCACTGACAATCTAAGTTTCAAAAATTTGAAATCTAAAACACAAAAAATGACACATTTACAGTAGACCTCAGGGTAAACTTAACAACAAAATAGCACCGCTTTCTGAAACAATTATACACTGTCTCCAGGTTTCACGTAGGTACCTCTTTTAGAGCTAGCTAAAAAAACATTATGATAAAGACTTCTCTAAAGGATCGGCCTCTAGTGAAAGGTAGGATGTACCTAACTCACGTATAGAAGTCCCTCACTCAAATTTAGTTTAGTGATACACTTTATTTACAGCGTATACAGTGATAAGCAGATAAATCTCCAATAATCTCATCTAACTTGAAAAGCGCCCTACAATTTATTGATAGATTTAGGTATCCCATGATATATTTGTCGGTTGTAGGTACATATTTTTTAATTTGAAATTCTTACTATCTGCTGACACAAGCCCCTTGCCCTTGAGCTTCTTCCTTTCCCCACTTTTTATACGCATAATTTGTTAGTTCGTGGAGGAGAAACACCGAAAACGTCAGGGCCCGAATTCTATCAGTTCGGTTGCTGGCCAAGATAAAACCAACGCAAACAAGAGGTTCTTGCAGACCTTGCAGTTTCCACGGGAATGTGATATATTCATTCAAGCAAAAAAAATCAAAAAAACAAAATGCTTGACTTTATCCCAGGTTATTGTTCAAAACCCAACACTAAGTTCAACAATTGCTAAACGTGTCAAACCATAAGCAACATGTAGGCCCATTTATAAAATTATTTAAAAAAATAGTCTGCTTACCTTAATTCTGTAGTATACGTATTATTTCTGTACACTATTCTATAAATAGGTGCCCTGATGAGAGTGTCACGAATCTTTAGGTAAAGAATTTTTGTATCTTTACGCATAATGCAGTTCACTATGGCAAAAGGTTAACAGTATTTATCCCCTTTTTAGAATTTTTTTTCCAAATTGGTATTGTTTATGATAGTGCCTAACTAATATCTCTGCTGGCCAGATAATTAAACATATGTCAGTAAACAATGTAACGATGAATTCTAACAAACAATTCGAAATTATTAAATAAAGCGCTCATTAAGACATACGAAATAAAGACTATAAAGCAGTACTTTAATTAATTTTTTAATTTTTTTTTAATTTTTGGCCTATATTTTTGTGTGCGCCAAGGCTGCGTTATCGTATTGGCACCCGCCCACATTGGGCATCTCATCGATTTGGAATGCAGCTGACACTTCCCAACAACGCTTTGGTTCGATGTCAAACTGCTCAACTCATGTTTTGAATTTTCTCAAATGCTTTATTTGTAACAAACCACAAGCAATAGGAAATAATACGCTGCACTTGTTTAGGCGACCATTACCAAATGGAAAGTTTACAAATTATGGTGAAATTCAGTTCTTAACACTGGTACATTTTATTTAGCAATCATAAAATTTATTCGCGATATGTACTTTGCTTAATTTCGTAGTATTGTGCAATAGTAATATGAATGTAACACATATACACAAATTTTCTTCCAAACCAGGAGTCAAAAGCAATTACTTTAAATTTAAAAAACGTAGCCCGTTACATTGTATTTGCAACAATCTACACGCGCAACCTAGTTTCCACTATTAATTGCAATTTAAGTCAGTGATAAAAGTAATGGATGAAGTGGGTGATCCATATTCTTATATTTGGGATGTAGTATAAATAAGAATTTAAAATAAATTTGGGAAAGACAGTGATTCTTATTTAAAAGTAATGGAATCTCCCTGCGTTAGTTTTTTAGTTGCGCTTTTTCTAAACAACAAAGATATAATATACCAAATTTGACATATGTACGTATCTACAGAAAGTTCAAATTTGAGTACCAAAAAATGCGTCTTCTACGGGTAGAAGTGTACACTACTAATAGGTATATTTGTTTCAGGTCTCTATGGAAAATGAATTTAATTCTCAGCAAAACGTATGGAGTCAATTTTCAAACAACACCTCATGGCACTACTTCGACCAGGCATCAGTTGCAAAACACACATTTTTGGAGCTATTGAGTATTCTGGAGCGTTTTGGGCTTCCCCAGGATATTAACGACGCCAAAGAGAGACTGATAGATCTCGTGCTTGCAGACGAAATAGACGTCTCAATTGTGATGACATATACACAGCGGTTTAACGAAGAAAGTGCATTCGATCGAATGATTGCCGCGCTGCTTACCCTAAAAGACACTATTCCATCATCGTGCCCGTTGGGATTTGGCATAGGGAATCTAATTCTGTATGCAGTTTTTAATAAACACCGGTTTGACTCGCACAGCAGTGATATTTGTGACAAGCTGTCTGAGCTTCCGCAGTACGTGGCTACTTGTGATCAATCATGTGATGTCCACAAGCGGTTAGAGATTTTGCAAAGTGATTATTGCGGAAGGGCGCAAATGGTCGAAGTCGCGAAAGTTGAGAACGTTGCCGTAAATACAGCAAGTAGTACACAAGTAGTTGACGTCTTACGCTCTGCAGTGGACGCCACGCAACTGGTTAGTTTACTTCCTGTTCCCGAATCACAGCAAGAAATTTCCAATTTAGAAACATTGAAATCCTATATGTCGAGCAGCGAGATGAAGCAGTACCTGCAACAGATTTCGACCTCCGAACATGGAAGTAGCACAGAGGTGCTGAGAATCGTATTGAAGCACATCGTGGAAACAAGCGTGGAAATCTCAATCAAGCGAATCGCTTACACCTACCTAACCTACATGGAAAGCACGGGGGAAAGCCGAAAATTATTCGACTATTCGATTCTTACCAAATTCCTCCCGCAACCCATAAATGAAGAGGAGGACTCGTACTATGCAACCGTACTGTCATTCCTTCAAGGAACCGATATTCACTATTATCTTAGAAATTTAGGTGAAATTGACTCTACTAACTTAGCTCTGCTGTACAAACAAGTCTTAAGGACGTTGGCGGAAGATCTCGAATTAGAACTCAACATAAGGGCAGCTTTTAAATATTACTACGACTATGAAGAGTTATTCGATGATGTTGAGCTGGAAGCACATAGAGTTCTACACAAAAAATTCAGTTTGAGAAAAGTCCTCAATGGTATTTTCACCGAATTGCCTTTGGAATATCGAGATGGATTGAAATTGCTTTTGCGGTTTGTCTCCAAGTATCCCGCAACGATGAACACCTTCGAGATTCCCACAGAGGTGGTGACCTACGGTCAGTTGGGTCGATCAGTACTAGATTTCCTACAGGCATCAGAACAAGTGCCGGCGGTAGTGAAAACGGCGATTATCACGTTAATCCCGCATATCAGCTATGATGGCGCCGGTGCGTTGCTTATACAATTTTAGGATCATCTCAGGGTGAATATTCCGTAAATATATTAGTGCACTGAACTAATGAGTGTGGTGCTTCTTTTCGTTTTTTGAAAAGGAGCGTGGTGCGCTGTTTTTCAACTTGGAAATATACCATTTGAGACCTACTGTATTTTCCAAATCGTGTTGATGGACCTATCTTTTCAAAAATCTGGTCTCTATTGATCCCGTCTTATTGTAAATAAACGTTACCTGGTTGATAAATGGCGGTGAGGTAATTGTCTTGTAAATATTTCCATTCTAGGAAAATAAATTTAAGACAAACTAGTTTGTTGGTATAGTTCGTCTCAATCTTTTGCTTTTATTCAAACTGAGCTCATAATTCTCATATATAGAGAGGCACAGTGAAAAGTGGTCACAAATCAGATAGACAGATCCTTGTGAATACAGAATGTCCATGAGGGTTTCATAGAACCCTTAGTAAGAGCAGTACAAGAGATTGGCTTTTAATAAACGCTAAAGGTTGAGATGCATCCCAGAAATATTGGATTAGAGCTGGAAATAACAGACGCATCATCATTGATGCATCTGTTGTTTGTGTATGTGATTAATGTTTGTAAAGTAAAATAAATAAAAGTTATAAATAACTATTATATGTGCTTCATTGATTTAACTCGCAAAATCCCTATTTCGCAAATATCTTTTTTTTAACACGAAGATTTTGATCCAAAGGCCTGCGCGTTAGGAAAACGCGACCTCCAAGAAGAAATTTACTCTCTCGTAAAAATTCCTTCGCACTTCAGTGGGACTTTTCTCTAAAGAAGACGGTTTACCGCATACGGCATATGGCATCTCAGACCAAAAATACGGGCTAAACAAAAATTTAAAGTTGCGTGAATACGACCCAAGCTTCTTCTGTTCTATTTCAAAGCAGAGCTCCTTAGCTACTAGAACATCACGCGTGGAGGAGTTTCTACTATTTATAAAATTGGTCGTTAATTGAAATCAGTGATGCTTACTTTGACAACAAAATTTAAAGTTCAGTTGTTTTTTTGTTCTATTTTATTTTGATTTTTTGAGAAAAGAGTATAAAACCTCGTACAAAACGTAATTACGTCATAAGTTCCTCAAAGAAAGAGATAGAAATGCCTCTATGAACATTACAGGAATTGTATAAGTTTTTTTTCAAATTTATCATTGAGCTGATTGGTTTACCCAAATCGATACATTTTGCTGTAGTTACAGTATACTATTTGGAGCATAATTTGTCCCAATCCAGTGTATTTGGTTAAAACGTGGCGGATCACCAAACCAGTAATAGAAGATAAGGCTACTAATGTATGGTCGCACTGTCTCTATTGAGTCACTGTAACTAAAATTACAGTTTATCCAAACCGGTAGATTTTACTATAGAGACAAAACTATTCCTACAATCGTTTCCAGCTTGGCGTGCAGGTTACTCTCTATACTAATCCGGTCCATTTAATCAAAACATGTAGGATCTCCTAACCGTATTGTAAAATTGTCCACCAATACTGACCCATTGTAGGTATCTACCAGCACGAAGAAGCGATTACCTACTTTGCTGAGGGCACACTCTGTTGGAGGTAGTAGTAGTACCTACTTTGTCTACAGTACACTCTGTTAGGTGGGCAGCGGGAGGGGGGATTCCATACCTCCCCATACCCCATGAAGCTGCTACGGTGTTAACACATATGACACTTTTGGAGAAATTGCTATCGAACTCACCACCACGATCCTGTGAAACTTTAAAATTAAATTTAAATAAAGGGTTAGTTACTTTAAGTTAAATAATCTTTATCATCGGTCACAATTGCGCACAAACACAAGCACCAGGTTATATTGCTTCGAAACTTAACTTCTCTAACTTAAAACTCGATTTATACGACACTGACTTCCTTTGTAATTACAATTGTACCTACTATTGATCCTTTGATGGTGCACAATACTTTCTTTAAAGGGTACTGCAAAATGGAGTCATACCGTATAATTTAAAGGCAATAATCTAAATTTTAAGATTTTTGTCCCATTCGTTGTTTAATATTGGATAAATCTTTTAATATTCGACATTTTCCGGAATTTACCGGTCACACATGCAAAATTCAGCTTACAGCGCATGCCATTAGCCGGGATCCATGTACAATACCGGTTGCTTATGACTTTATTGTATGACGAATTGACGACTCAAAATATCCGGGATTTGTGTGAATATCAGCACCGGGAGGCGAATCACGGCGTGCAAAGTAAGGTTTCGATACCGTAACATAACAGTATTCAAACAACATAAAAATCTTAGGAACCCTGAAAAATAATCGCATTTGAATTTATGCAAAATAATATGGAGGAAAAATACTACTGTAAACAAATTCAACAAATATACTACGCCCCCATATAAAACAAACGAAACCATCGACCCATATTATACAAGCCGATAACAAATACCTTAATTATTGAACTTTGAAATCACCTTCCTGCGAATTGTTAAAATATAAAATACACGTGAGAAGTTCCACAGCACTCTAACTACGTACAAAAAATCTCCCAGATACCCTACATTATCTAAACACCTTGTATGTTCACCCCAAATGAAAGCCACCCACACCTATGGGAAGTTCCACTTTAACTGACAACGCAATGAAAACTACAATCTGCCCCAACTTGCATTAACACCCTGTATTAATCTACAACGCTTCCCTAACAAATAACAAAATCCACCCTGTAGTGAAGATATAGTAACAGATTCAAATTCCTTTGGGGCCGAGTACTTTAAATTCCGAGCCAAGTAATGTCATTTACTGAAAAATTTTGTATTAAATTTGACCCGAAATCGTATTTTAATATAAAATTTCAATTTTTATATAGAACTTTTGATTAATGTCAATCTGTCAGTGATGACAGGAGTAATTATAGACCGATGCAGCCGGTAAAGTGACAGGTGCGACCTGTAAAATGACAAGCGGCAGGAAACGTAGTTTGCTCTGCCTCTGTCATTGAAACCAAAATTTCCTGGCAGAAAGTAGGGATGAAAATGAAGGTTTCAGGACGATTTTGGGTAAAATATATTTTCTCGCGTCCTTAGGATTCTTACCGTGTTTCAAAATAGACAACTATAATTAGTAGGGGGCACTCCCACGGACCACGGTGTACACACATGTCATTGAAAGCTGACAAAAGGAATATGGTCTCAGTATAAGGTAAATTTCCAGCTATCCCGCACAATTGCCCGAAAACAATTACCCGAAAAACAATTCTCCGAAAACAGTTGCCCGAATGGACAATTGCCCGAGTGGACAATTTCCCGAAACACAATTGATCGAATGGACAATTGCCCGAAGAACAATTGCCCGAAAGGAGAATTAACCGTTAAGGGGGGTGGAGGGTTGTCACTCATAACGTCATTCTGGTTTCCCCTCGATACCACCGAAACAGTTTTCTGAGATTTTCAATATCTTCTTTGGTTGGGAAAATATGGCCGACTGCAAGTTTTAAAATTGACACCCTGTATAAAATGAATGATTGCTAGTTCGCATAATTTAAAAAAAGTACCTGGGAGTGGGGTACAAATTTTCAAAAAACTTTTCGAAATCGATGGGTATAACCATAGAGTAAATACAATTTCCTCTATGGTATAACCAATATTCTGTCCAACAAATTAGAGATTACTCTCTAAATAAAGGTTGTGCCACTCGAATATAAGCGAACTCAGTCAATATTTTGGAAGAAATTGAGAAAAATGGTTCAAACCCCACTCGCGGGTGTTGTTGCCTACAACACATCTGTAAATGATGGGAAACGGGCAAATATAGACAATAGCAGCTACCAATTAGCGACAACCCGTGTCTAGGTGGCCCAAGGCTCGAAATCTCGACGGAACAGACAGACAGACGACAGAAAATTGAGCACATAAGCGTTACCTCAACTTCGTTGCGTTACAAAAAACGCAAAACAAAGAGGTGTTACATTAACGAATGAAACCAAGTTAAAACAGAAAGTCAATACCCATTACGAAATAGAGTATCAAAGCAAGAAACCTTGTCATAGACGTACATATTCAAAACACTTTTCCCCCCAACAAGCCAATAAGCACATATAATGTACTAATGTAGGTATTTGTGGTATTTTAACGGCGTATTACGCTACCGGTCAATTCGAAACACTATGGAAGATCTTCCAATGAAACCCAGAGACTGCAATGCACGCTGGTATACTCAAGTGTAACTACCAGAAACGGCCTACTAGCAAAGATCAACTTCAAAACTGTGTTGCCGAAATTCTGTAGAGGGACAACTATCTCGTTCTTTAAATATTTAATACAAATACTGACAACCCCTGTATATTCTGGCAAAAGTTAGTGGATTTATACTGGATCAAAAACTGCGATCTTTTAACCTGAGCCGTATTCCATTTTTAGACTTCAATACAATGAACCCTGTCAGTTGTAAGGTATGTTCTGGAATTGCTGGCAAGAGTTCAAACTTCATCAATATTTTGGAAACGACGGCTTTGATTTCCAACATGGCGTATTTTTGTCCTGAAATGCAATCATTGAACAATAGACGCACTACCAGTTGTCTTTCCAAAGACATACCGATGCAATTTCTTGGACCTGCAGAAAATGGAATGTACGCATAAGGAGGTCGTTTGCATAGATTCTCTAAGGAAAATCTTTCGGGATCAAACTTCTCAGGATCTGGATAGAGCGACGGATCTCGATGTATTCCATACACAAAAACATTAAAATCTGCTCCTTTGGGGAATAAGTATCCGTCTATGTAAAAATAATCACTGCGTGATCAAATAGTCACTCATTAACATTTACCAATTTCAGTATCAGCAGCGATCCTTCGGCCGAAAAGTGGTACAGGTGGATATAATCGTAGAGTTTCCTTAATAACCATTTCTAGGTACTTCATTTCTTGTAGGTTCTTATAAGTTGGTGCATTGTGATTTAGAAGTATTGAACCTAGCTCTTGTACTGCTTTCTCCTACTCGTTTCTGGGTACTCAAATTTGAAGTGCACTTCAAAGGCTTACCTGAACTAGCGGATTTGTTGCAAGGCAGAATAACGTGAAACTAACAGCGGAGCCCACCGTGTCGTGACCCTAAAATGTCTTGTTAAAAAGGCGTTAGGGTACCATGCTAAACAATACCGCAAACATAAATGTATCGACTTCTTCGCGAATATCTTCATCGGTAAATGTGTCATCACTTTCTTTGTGCTTCAGCAATGTATCTAGTAGGGTTAATTTAGTTTTAATTCCCTCACTGTAACCTACATCGACATTTCGCGCTAGTTCTTGTTTTCGTGACGATATTACGTTCTTGGTGAAACCGTGAAGATAGCTTAAAGCTTTTCGTTCGAGGTGAAAATCACTCGTAAGGGAATATGTAAGGTTCCACGTCTTGTGTATAAGAAAAGCACGGTGGTACAGTATCCGACACATCTCACGGACGTAGTGCACGTATTCAGAGTTTAATTCTTCTTGTGCGTTTACGTTTGTTCCCATAGCTGAGGCTGAAATCAATTCAATTTTGGTATCTAATAAGGCACAAGTTCACCTACCGCAAATCACGTCCAAGCTGTACAGATTTAAATGTTGGTAAATGTCAATAGATTGATTTTTCACTTCACTCTGCAGCTTACGCAGGAGTATATCTCCAAATGTATTGAATGATTCCACAGATGCTTCTAGAACTGTGACGCCAAATGCAGGATTTAGAATTTTTCGGCGGATCTTCCATTTCTCTCCTTGTAGTTTAACAGAAAATGCAATGATTAGTAGACCCTATGATTTATACATACCAGCAGCTGTGAGAACACTCGTCCCAAGCCAGTTGTGAGAAAACCGATACGAGTTCGCCTTATCCAAAAAGTCATAAGATTTTGAAACTTCTTCAACAAACTTCAATCCAGTTGTAAATATGCTGGGCTCGAAAAGCATTATACGCATTTTAAAAATACTCCCATATTTAACCTTGAATTTGAGCAACAGATCCAGCACATCTGAACAATTCTTCACTCATCAGTTAATTGCTAAAATCATACTTTTGGCTTACCTGTTTTCATTTGATGTGCGTTGCCTATTATAGGTAAAGGTGCCGGGCCTGGAATGCGTTTAATGGGATTCTCTGCCGAGGTAAACGAAATTATCCATATTACTACTAGTAGAACTAAAGCACCCAGCAATATCTCCGCAACGGCCATTTCGCATCAAATCTGTGAACCTACTGAGTTAAAGTACAGAACCTTTGACCTTTGAATACTAAACGGACCAAATGCAAACAATAAACACATGATGTGGTGTATAATGTAATAAGTACGTAAAAAAATTCATACTGTCACGCACGGATGATCTTTTAATTATTGCTCATTATGTGACTACTAATACTGGGATTTTCAAAAAGACTGAGAATTAATTCCATTGTTTTTTTTGGAGTATAGATTGGCGGTATTATACTTTGAAAAGACACTGCCGTGATAAAATAGAACGCGGTTTTGCGATCATTGTTGTAAAATGAACGTTCCGTAAGTTTTTACTAACAATAAACAACGACATGCCTATTTAAAAATAAGAGTTAAGGAAAAATCTAAAGGGCGTTACTAGACACGGAATGGACAAGTTTGTACTCAAGCTGGTATGTAATTACTATAACCATTAAATAAAAACACCTATAACGCAAGTTCAGTTGTGCTGCAAACATTTTCAATTTATAGGATTATCTAATGGATTATCCATTTTGTGCTTGGGAAAGTAACGTTAAAAAACACATTCAATATTCAGATAATGATGGAATTTTAATTTATTTTATTTTGTGGACCTTGCCATTAAAAGTGCAACACAACATCATTTAAATGTCTTCCACGAAACTTCTTACTGGACTCGATCCTTTTGAGGTAATTTTCAATCGAATTGAGTTGACCCTCAATTGATCATGAGTTTCAGGATAATTGTTGGCGTAAACACGATCTTTCGTATACCTTCACAAAAAGTAATCCAAAGGCATCAAATGGCAGAATCTTGGAGGCCAAACTCGAAATTGCTCGTTCTGGTAATTCTAGAGCTCTAACTGTCAGTGTTGTGTAGCTCGCTGCTCAATCCTGCTGTAACCACCTGCCTTCCAGATCATAATCTTCAATTTCTCTCCAAAAATAAAGGGTTAACATACGGCCATAGCGTTCCAAATTATCTATAAGTGCTCGTCCTTGGTTATTCTCAACAAAATTTGGACCAGTGGCACCACCATACCATAATACATAACATACAGTCAGTTTCCCGGGTGCAAAGGCATCTCAGTAAACGTTTTGAGAGGTCTACATACGGCAATTTGGCTTATTTGCGTATCCACAGAGCGAAAAATGAGCCTCATCGCTGAAAGAAATTTTGTTCGAAAAATCATCATTTATTGCTTGTTGTTCCATCACCCAATTAGCGGATGTTCTGCGTGTCCATGGTAGGCAGGTTTTACTTCTTGAGTTAGTTGGATTTCGTTCGGATGGAGATGCAAATGCAAATTAAAAATTCGCCATAATGAGCCCAATAGCTGAGCACGGCGTGGAATTCACAAATGTTGATCTTCTTCCACACTTTCAGGAACAGCAGCGATATTTTGAGCGAAGTGTACCTATATTACGATGCTGCACAGGACTTACAATACCAATCACCGAAGTTAGTGTGATCCAAATAACGAGGATATTTTAATGTAATGTTGGAGAGACTGGTTTACATCATTTAAAGGATTCACTTGGAATGTCTCGAAGACATTGTCGGTCCTATTTCCTTCAATGCTAACATTGATGCAGAAAAATCCCACATGGAAATATTAAATTCATCCTTAAAAGGTGAAGTAGCGTCGACGGGCCTGAGGAAGCACTGCCTACCCCCTTGTTTCGGCGGCGGCGTCGATTCAGACGAAGAGTACTTTTCTGTACGGACCTCGGAGGTGAAGGGAAGGTTTTTGCGTAGGTGTGTGTGTATGCGCGAAGCAGGCGCTTTGCACTCTCTGCGGTACAAGCGGTTTGTCCACTCAAATGTCAATGCAAAGTTCAACCTCGCTCGCGTGCCGATGCTAAGCGCGGATACTGCAGGTGAGCGAAAGGAGAAACTAAGAGGCAAACTTTCTCTATCGTGCTGCGTTGGCCGCATACAATCGACATAGCACTGTGGCTGTGCAACTAACACAAGCGCGATAGAGATTGAGTTTACCTATTAGTTTTCCCCTCTCGCTCGCCTGGAGATCCGCACTTATTGGTACGCGCAGTCCATTACTATATGCGATTATTCAAACTCATTAATATGACAGCCAGATTGTCTTAAGAAGTTATTTTGGTTGTATAAAATTAGGCTCCTTTCAGAAGTTTTTAAAAGTAGACAGAAGGAAAAACAATACACACAAATCCCTATGTCTACTTCCTAATAAATATCACTGTGTAAAAAGCATGCCAACTTTTGATACGATTGATAATCTCGCATATGGACGCATGGAAAACAATTCCAATGTATATGATGTCCCTTCCCCACCAGCGCAATCAAATCATAGTAAGGCACTAAAAATAAAATAAATAAATATTTAAAATACTTTATTGGAACTTTATTGTCTCTTTAAAATACCTAACTTGCTGATACACTACCACATGCTATGTTACTAGAGTAGTCTGAGTAGCACATAATTGTAGCAAAAGGAAAATGCATAGAGCCGTGCAATGAATTGTAGCGGTTGCCAATATTGATGGTGTCAGCTAATGCATATTGTACAATTCCAAGAACAGTATAATAATCGGGAAAAATGGGCAAAAACTCGTTTACACACTCCCTTAGTATGCATTGGTGACTGGCAATCTACAAAGACACGACATAGAGCACGTTACTTATTTTTTGCAACCACACATGGCACATTGAAGAAAGAACGACTGCCATTTTTATATATTTGTGGTATAAAGTGCCTATTACTAAAAAAAAGGAAAAGGAAAAAGCAGTAAGGTTGGGAGCTAATGTATAAGTATTCGGAGTTCTTAATTGGGTATTTTTGAAACTACACTGTTCGCCTCTCAAGCCTTATGTTAACCCCATTGGAAGACTTAAGCACAACTACACCTCCAAACGCAGGAGTCTGCTCTGGAATAGCACGAAGAATTTTAAACTTCATCAAAATTTTTGATACGACTGCTTTCATTTCTAACATGGCAAACTTTTGACCTAAATCCAGGAGAAATTCGGTTAGGAGGTGAACAGTGACGAAGGGCATAATTTACCAATGCAATTTCTGGAACCCGCACTGAAGGGGATATTATAGGAGTGTATCGGTCTGGTGCCTTGAATTTCTGTTGTAAATCTTCCCGGATCAAATTTTTCAGGATCAGGAAAATAAGCTGGATCGCGATGAACTGAGTAGATATTGATGGTAATGTCTGTTCCCTTTGGAAAGCAATATCCCCCTACAACTGGTTTTATAGTCTTATAGGTACATTTGGTATTTACCAATTTCCGTATCTTTCCTAATCTGTCGAGCAATAAGTGGTACCGGTGGATGCAAGCGAATGCATTCTTTGATTACCATTTCAAGATACTTCATTTCTTGTAGTTGTTGGTAGCTTACCTCGTATGATTCGCTGTCGAGTATTGAATTTAATTCTTCCACGACAGATTCCTGGAAGGTATATTTTGAAGCACCCTAAATGGTCTAAGATTAGGTGCTTACTTGAACTTTTGGGTAGATCGAAAGGCAATACAAAATGCTGGAAATACCAGAGGACGTAGTATCGTACCCCTGCAACATCACGTTCAAAACTTCAATGTTTATGCCGCAAACTCACCGCAAACATAAAAGTATCGACTTCTTCTCGGATTTCCTCATCCGAAATTCCTACGCCGTCTTCTTTGAATTTTAACATTGCATCCAAGAACGATAACCTTTTCTTTATTCCTAAATCGGAGTCGAAGTTGTCTTGGTTTGAGTTATTTTCCATCAGTTCTTTTCTTCGATTTCCTATTACGCTATTGGTGAACCGATGAAGTTTTTCTAATACCTGACGCTCTGCCTTGTAATCGTTGGTGAATAAATAAAGAAACTGAATTGATTTTACGAGTGAAAGCGACCGTTCAGATATGATACGGCAGATTTCGTTAACATTGTGCAGATATTCTGAGTTTGAATTTTCCTGTGCGTTTATGTTTGTTCCCATCGATGAAGCTAAGGATGTAAGTGCATTTTGTATGAATGGTACCCGTTCCACGTTACCTACCACAAATTACATCCAATGTGTAGCGTGCAATGTATGGGTACACATTGAATGACGGTTTGTCAGCCTCTCCATCCAGTTGTTTTAACAATATGCTACCCATCTTGTTGAACGAATCCATGAACCCTTCAAGAATTCTGAAGTGGAATGCGGGTGTTAACATTCTTCGATGCCGTTTCCATTTTTCATCTGCAAATAGAGGTTTATTTATGTTCCGAGTGTACACTGTAACGAGTGGTTTTATTTCGCGCCGAAGTTAATTTAAAAAATTCGAAATTTCTTGTCATGATAGTGCAGGTCACCCTGTATATTTCATTATTTGTTCCGATTAGAAATTTTGTGATCATTTACGTTTGGGCATTTCGGTTCGCTCAAGACTATGGTACGGTAGATTTAATTTCGTTCAAATTTAATTTCGTCGTGGGAAGATTGCAAAGTTGATTGACGTCATCATGAGTAATGCGAGTTTTGTCGTTCGTAATCACCCGAGGCGCCGTCTAGACCGAGAATAGGAGCGGAAATAGCACCCAGTCATCAAGGGATCAGTGGTCTTCATTTCGTCAGCAGAAAACCGTGAGATTCGCTTAATCAGCAGTTCGTGGAAGTCGACGACGAAGCTAGAGGGGGTTAAGTCTTCTTTATCTAAACCAATGGGAGAATTTCTAGCGGGAGCCATTTTTGTGTTATGGTAATTTGGGTGTGGTTTTTTTTCATTTGAATTCTGAAGAAGGGGATCGTTTTAAGGAGACTCGCGTCTAGTACGTCAAGGGGTCAACACGTACCTTGAGCGATCGTTTTGGTACACTTAGCGTTTTGAGCCACCGGTTTGTTTCGGTTGCTCCCAGTTGCGTGCTTTTTGCACCCCGTTTAGAAGTGTTATTTTCTTTTCGCGTTGAATTTTCGGCGACGAAAACCCCGGTTCCGATCAAGTGATATTTAGGCGAACCTTTTGAGCTTCACACCAGTTTACTTTGGATGCAGTGAATCGCGTTAGGATACGTTGTGATTTCTCGAGGATATATAATTCAAAGTGCTGCCCTATTCCTCAAGGCGCAGAATTTCGGGATCCGCCCCAGGTGGAATTTCCTACTAGTGCCGCACGGTCATTTGTCAAAGGAGCGCTGCGCTTTGGAGAGATATTTGCCCCAAGAAGAGCCGGTGGAAAGGAGTAGTCGAACCACCCAAGAATAAATCGCGGTTTACCGTCGGATCGTGACCATAAAAAATTTGTGTTCTGCCGTGCCGCTAACTCAAAAAACCGTCTCCAGCAGGCGAGTTAAAGTCAATAAACTCTAAGAGCCGGTGGAAAGGAATAGTCATTGTGTTAAATTAAATACACCTGCTGTGTAGAAACTTTGGCAGCTAGCCGTCTCCCACTCGCCACGCGAAGGATTTCCTGGACTAAGATTCCGTTCAAACACTAAACCTTGTTTTCGTTCCGAGGAAGGATAGGCACCGTGGATTTTGTTTCCGTGTGTTAACTTCAAGCCACCCCCTAGGAAGTCACAGAGACCTAAGTGTCAGGTTTCATCACATCCACCCTGTATATAGAGGAAAGAGCAGTTCACAAGATCGGCTGTACAAATATTGTAAAGGTTAGTCTAATTAAATTTGTAACGTTCTGTAAAATCCCACTTTTTGGTAATCAAGCTATAGTAAAATTTTGATTTGATTGTTTATTAAAGTCCAATGAACGATTACCAAAGAGTAGGATAAATTTTTGTGTTTATTTAAATAAGTCCCAGCCCACGCTGGAGTAAAAAACCGATGACCTGTTGTTGAAATTTTCAAACTGTAGAGGATGGCCACCCCTTGAGTAAATTAGTCTAATTTGGTAGGATTTTTTATTTAAGTTAGTTTTCACTGTTAGGCTACATTTTTTTACAAGGAGGAGAGAAGAATTGCTAGATCCCTGTAATTTGTTTGTATCTATCATATCATTTAAATATATTATCTACTTGGTTCCAATGTGCCTATGTCTTTAACGAAGAACGAGGGGAAGGACAGAGAGGAGTAGGAGTTGAGGCAGGAGACTGGTAGGCGGCAGGTTAAGGTTGTTACGCAGTAGGAAAGAGTTAAAAGCCCACCGATTTGAGTTAGCCGGAGCATTTATTTTTATTTGTTACGCAGCCTGAGGACAAGACGGTTTGCCTTGCCGGGCGGAACCGATGGTAATTTTCAAGTCCAGAAGGAACCCCCGTAGCAACACGTAGCGATGATTAGCAGCGGAGAGAACATCAGAGCACATTGATTCTGCGAACAGAAAGGATATTTCAAAAGATTTGCGAATTTGTATCGCCTGAGGGATTTTTCCAGGTATTATTTATAACGAGCGAACATTATTCGCTTGCCTGGATTTGCTCCCACACCACTGACTCTGCAGAACAATTTGAAGATACCTAAGAAGACGAAGTGCTGAAATATTCCCAAAAGCAGAAGAGGCAGAAAGTGATCGAAGAAGATAAAGAAATCAGACCGAGCGAAATATTCACAAAAAAAGCAAAGCGCATAAAGACAAACAAATGGTAAGAGGGTGACAAAGATATCGAGACCGAAGGAGTTGATCCAGCCCAGGATACTGAGGAATGCGAGGATGTCAAGGGTGCCTAAGAACCAGGTAACAACCGAGTATCAATCTACAAAAACGAGAAAGTCGAAGAGGCTGAGGCATCTACAGAAGTAAACGGAGTTGAAAATCGAACGCCAAATGCTCTAAGCGTTGTAGTATTAGCTGAGCAAGAAGAACTTGTATTGAGCGTGATCCATTTGGAGGATGTACTTTAAACATCTTTTTGCTTCCATATAAACGGCCGAAGGGGATCGTGTCCCAATTTGATCGTCTGTAGCTTAAGAAGAAACTCTACCTGTTTTACTTCCCGCAACGAGTTCAAAATCGGGAGAAGATAGCGAGGTGCTAGAACCGCGTTAGACTCGGCACCCGTTCGCATGGGATGGCGCTTCTGCAACTATAAAAGTTTCTGCAAATCATACACACCTGCACTAGTAACTAATCCAGTTCCTAACCAGCTATGCATGAAATCATAGGACATCCCCTTATGCAATAGCTGTTGGGATTTTAAGATTTCCTCAATTAACTTCGGATCGGATGTGACAATACTGGGTACATCAAACATAGTTCGTATCTTGTAAATACGCCCATACTTCTTTTGAAACTGTGCCATAGTATCCAATGCATCTATAATAAACTCACGTTTACGAAATTGAGATGTAGAGATTTATTTAGACGAGATTACCTTCGGTTGCGCCTATTTGATGAATATTTCCGATGATTGGCAACGCAGTCGGCCCTGGAACGTTTTTAAGATGCTTTTCTGAATTGAAATAGTAATAGAACCACAATGTTAACACGAAGAGAAATGGAAGAAGCACTATAGCCCCTAACAGGATCATGTTTCGAATGTTTACTCAATAAAAAACTGGGAATTATTAGGCAGTTAGTTTCAATATAAAAGAAATCGTTGAAATTATACCACAATGAATAAATAGGTTGTTGAGGGGTCGGTCCCTATATTGGCCTAAATTATAATATCAAGGTTCGCCAGTTAATAGATATAATTTTTAGACCGCTCTTACTTTGTTTGCATGGTTACTTTATTATCCTTGCCAGAAAAGGGCAGACTTTACTTGGATTCTTGGGCATTAAATTTTGCTACAACTTCATTTCTTGTTCACCCTATACATCGGCGAAATGTGGATCAAAAGTTACATTTCCGTTTTTTTCGACGGCACTGTAAACTTTCTTACCACAGTTGCCTATCCCGATGAGATAGTGATCGTAGTACGTGGCAGATTTGAGGAGACAGTATCATTTGAGGCACCAAGCTATGGGTAGTTAGAGAAGGATAATTCTTGTGCATCGCGTTAGACCCAGGGGCTTGAAATAACATCTGGAAAACATAGCCAAGAAAGTCACAAGATCCCTGCAAACCTGTAGGCAAGCGTTCGGGAGCAAGTGGAGTCTATCTCCACTGAATATACACTAAAATGATTAAACCCGTCATTACGTTTGCGTCATCGGTGTGGTGGCATAAGACCTTCGCCCAGAGGAACATGCAGATATTTAGCAAGGTGCAGCACAGGGCTTGCCTTAGGGGGGCAATAATAACGACCCCTACGGCAGCTACGGAGACCCTCTCGTACTTACCGCCACCACACCTAGTAATTAGGGCCGAGAGTCATACCGTGTAAGAGTCAATGGCGAGCAGGTATGTTCAAGGGTGGGGCACTCTCATTTTTTATGAAATCTCTAAAGTTAAATTCTTGTGCATCGCGTTAGACCATGGGCTTGAAATAACATCTGGAAAACATAGCGAAGAAAGTCACAAGATCCCTGAAAACCTGTAGGCTAGCGTTCGGGAACAAGTGGGGTCTATCTCCACTGGATATACACTAAAATGATTAAACCCGTCATTAAGTTTGCGTCATCGGTGTGGTGGCATAAGACATTCGCCCAGAGGAACATACAGACATTTTGCAAGGTGCATAGAGTTTGCCTTAGAATTACGGGGGCAATTATAACGACCCCTACGGCAGCTATGGAGACCCTCTTGAACTTACCGCCACTATACCTAGTAATTGGGGCCGGGAGTCATACCGTTTAAGAGTCAATGGCGAGCAGGTATGGTCAAGGGTGGGGCAATCTCTCATTTTTTATGAAATCTCTAAAGTAAAATCCCTCAGAATGATAACTGGGAGGATAATTAGAACAGTTTGTCTTAATCTCTAAAGCAAATTATCAAGCCAAATGGAATTTGTACATGATTTCCACGAAAGAACTTATGCTTGCTTGTTCTAGAGAATTCATCATACGCTGAAAAATCTTATTATTTGACAGTTCCCATGCTCGCGCAACCAAAAGTATCCATGAATCCGTGTAAGAACCGTCCTAGAAACCGTCTTCCTCGCCAACGTCCTCAATTTAGTCCCGAAGGTTGAGTGAGGTATGATGTTGTCAGGGTCGGACGACAGACAAGGGGGCTCAAATATGCGGCGTGAGTATCCTCTTCTTTAAATCCAGAATCCAATCTATGCAGTCCCGCAAGGATCACTCTGTGAACTACCCTCAACAGTTTTACGACTATGTGCTTGGTTGAAACAAAAACACTCTTGATCTATTGTGGAATCGTTGAATGGATGGATAACAGATTTGTGTATCTTGTTGATCTGGAATCTTCGAGTATAACGTATGCAATTAGTATTTTGCATCAAAAGAAAGATACGTATAGATTATATTTATTTTTTAATTATAAATCTTAAGCTAAATAATTTTTGCGAAATTGAATTGAGTTCCCAAGTGAAATTTCACTGATGGTGAAGGTGCATCACAAAGGTTCATCACAAATGAGAGCTTTATTTTCAATTACATCCAGTAGAAACATGCATAATATAAATGTATGCGCACGAGCCTGTGTTATTAAGTATTTTTTAATTACATTTTTCGTTTTTCAAGCCTGATATTAACACCATTAGGACACTTAAGCACAACTACACCTCCAAACGAAGGGGTGTGCTCTGGAATTGAACGTAAAACATTGAACTTCATCAGAATTTTTGATATGATTGCCTTCATTTCTAACATTGCAAACTTTTGACCTAAAACGAGGAAAAATTATATGGAAAGTTGAATCAATTACATAGTGCGGCAAGCGGCACTTACCAATGCAGTTTCTAGGTCCCGCACTGAAAGGGATATAGGAGTGTACCGGTCTAGTACTTTGAATTTCTGATGTGAATCTCCCCGGATCAAATTTTTCTGGATCAGGGAAGTAAGTTGGATCGCGTTGAAGTGAGTATAGATTAAGGGTGATGTCTGCTCCCTTTGGAAAGCGATACCCTCCTACAACAGGTCTTATAGTCAGATCGGTTCATTTTGTATTTACCAATTTCCGTATCTTGTCCAAATCGTCGAGCAATAAGCGGTACTGGTGGATACAAGCGTATACATTCCTTAATCACCACTTCAAGGTACTTCATTTCTTGTAATTGCTGGTAGTTTACCTCAGATGATTTGCTGTCGAGTATTGAATTTAATTCCTCCACGACAGATTCCTGCAACGTTTATTTTGACGCACCCTAAACGGTCTAAAATTATGTACTTACTTGAACCTCTGGGTAGATCGAAAGGCAATATAAGATGCTGGTAATACCAGAGGACGTAGTATCGTATCCCTGGAACATTTTTCGTTCAAAGCCTCAATATTGATGGCTTCGACTCACCTCAAACATAAAGGTATCGACTTCCTCACGGATTTCCTCGTCCGATATTCCTTTGCCGTCTTCTTTGAATTTTAGCATTGCATCCAAGAACGATAACCTTTTTTTTATTCCGAAATCGGAATCTTCGTCATCTTGGTCTGTGTTACTTTCTAACAATTCCTTTTTACGGTTCGCGATTACGCTGTCCGTGAACTGATGAAGTTTTTCTAATACCTGTCGCTCTGCCTTGTAATCGCTGGTAAATGTATAAAGAAACGGAATTGATTTTAAGAGAGAGAGAGAGCGTTCTGATATGATGCGGCAGATTTCGTTAACATTGTGCACATATTCCGAGTTTGAATCTTCCTGTGCGTTTATGTTTGTTCCCATAGATGAAGCTAAGAAAAAATGTGCAGTTTGTCTGGGTTTTGATCGTTCATTTTACTTACAACAAATTACATCCAATGTGTAGAGTGCAATGTATGGATACACATTGAAAGATGGTTTTCCAACCTCCCTTTCGAGGTTTTTTAACAATATTTCACCCATTTGGTTGAACGAATCAATAAACCCCTCGAGAATTTTGAAGTGGAACGCAGGTGTTAACATTCTTCGATGCTTCTTCCATTTTTCATCTGAAAAGAGACGATTAATATCTTCAGAGCATATAGGTTCCCATAAAATGGCTTATACTCCCAATAAGTAAGTATAGACAGCGATAGTGCCTAATTTCGTAACAAGTGTAAGTGGTGGGAAATGACGTTTATATAGGAGCGAAATTTGTGCTGAAAATGCAGTACCTCCCCCACTAACGTGCGGGTGGTAGAAACGCGTCTTGCAACAAATATAGCAAACGAGCTACTGGGTCACTGAAAATTTAATCAGTTCTTCCTTGGATGATGATAAACATAATACCGAAAATAGAATTGAAGTATTCGAAACGGTTCGCGAGTTATCCATGTACACAGACGGACAAACATAAAGTCCAAAATCATGAACTCGCGTTTAGGAGTTCGTTAATTAACACGCATGCACGCACAAACATTGGATGCCCCATAAGGTCACGTGCTGTACGTTTTCTGCCGATCGAGTTTTAGATATATTCAGTTAAAAAAAAATCAGTTAAATTCCTATTTGTAAATTTCCGACATCCCTCGCATTGACCTTCAATGTATTGAAGCTTTTGCGCTACAATAATGAGGTACGTATAATATCGTCTCCCAATACGCGTCCGGGGTGGAGGACAGAATTTCCCCCACTAACGCCGTGTACAAATCGGACGCTTCCAATAGCTTTTGCATTTGAGATCACGAAATTTAATTTAATGGGAGTTTTTCAATCCTTTTTCAAGTGTTAGATGATCTAGGAAGGGTGTAATACCTTGCACCAATGTTTGTGTTCAATTATTTCTGGTACTACCCTTTAGATAAAATCACAGATTTAAAAATCTGTGATGATGAAATGATTCCAAAAGGTTTTTACTTACCTTAGCTACTAAGCACTAAAATGGCGCTTCTGTATCAAAAAAAATCTGCAAATTATACACACCTGCACTAGTAAGTAAACCGGTTCCCAACCAACTATGCATGAAATCATAAGCCACCCCTTTATGCAATAGCTGATACGATTTTAAGATCTCCTCAATTAACTTCGGATCGGACGTCACAATGCTGGGTACGTCAAACATAGTTCGCATTTTAAAAATACGCCCATACTTCTTTTGAAACTGCACCATAGTTTGCAATGCATCTGCAATACACTGAAGTTTAGCGAAATTAAGAGGAACTTATTTATATGTGGTTTACCTTCAGTTGCTCCTACTTGATGGATATTTCCTATAATCGGCAATGCACTGGGTCCTGGGACATTTTTAAGGTACCTTTCTGAATGGAAATAGTAATAGAACCACAACGTCAACACTAATAAAAGTGGAAGAAGCACTACGGCGCCTAACAAGATCATGTTTTTAATGTTTACCTTCTCGGTAACTACTCAAGAATTATTATACTGTTTTGGTAGCCGCAATAATAAACTAATACTTCAAATTACATCACAATCTAAAAATAGATTGTTGAGGGGCCGGCTTCTTTATTAGTGCAAATCAAGGTTCTTATTCCGAATTCGGTCGACTTGCTGTGTTGATTTTGTTCGACATTGAGATTTGAGACAAAACAAATTGAGAAAGAGGCACAACCACGCAGTTGTTAATTTATTATAGCTCAATTAGAATCACATAAAACGTAGCCTGTGGAACATATTTATCTATCTACCTGAGGGTCGATAGTAGACTACCATGTCATTGTGAAATGTAATTATCACAATTTCGCAGAAATTTTTTTTACCGTATCATCTACCAGTGAAATTTAATTCTGCGTATGAGAACTTTGACATTTTTAATAAAAAATCATATCTTTATTTTGATATGTGCTGCTAGCTTAAACTAATGGTGACGTTTCATTTGTATTTCTTCTTCTAAATGAGGTCAATTTGAAGACGTACCGCCCATTGATTATAGTACCTAATAGAAGAGAAGATAGGAAGGTACGAAGGTACCATGAAACTAAACATAGTCATAGTGAAACACAACCCAAGCTTTATATGTTAGTGCATCCTCAAGAAATAGAAAGCGACCTATCCAACAAGTGGAAATTTTTAATTTAGGTTACATAATAAAAAAAGGTTACTAGATATGTCTTGTTTAAATATAATAAAATAGGTCATTTCATAACACTGATATTTTAAACAGCTTCTAAGATTCATTTAAAATCTATTCATTGGCCCATATGAATAAAAAGAAGCATATGCTTATACTTGCAACATTCAAAGTAAATACTCGTAAGTGCTCCTTCGCACTTAGCAGCGCTGCTAAGCAGAAGGACAGGACACAGTGCAGCGCTGCTAAACCATGCTAAACAGACCAGTATGAAGGGGCAGTTACGAGTATTTACTTTGAATTTTGCAAGTATAAGCATTTGCTTACTTTTATTCATACGGGCCATAGTTTCTTATAAAGTACGTCGTCAATGGCAACGTGCTTTATACACTACTTAAACTGCTCCGCTTAATTTTTCGTCCCTAATGTTGTTGATTCTGTTACCATGGTTACTACCTACGCCAACCTTGAGAAACGTTTCTCCCTTATGATAAAATATGCTTTAATGTTATAAAAAATCTTGAAGTGTTTTATATTTTAAAGGACTCTTACACCTCGCTCCCTTCGGTCGCTCCGATTTAAATGGACATCGTCCTTTAAAGTATCTATACGCATAGTTATCTTAATAGCTATTATTTATTTATTACACTCTCTTATTTATATTTTACATTTGTACAGTACCGATGCCCGACGCAAGGTGAAGGCAATTCCTCCCTTTCCTACGATGGTATTTCGTCTTAACCTACCTTCTTAAATTACGCATTCATCATGCTTAGATGTCTTTTAACTTGGATCTAATGAACCGCTGCGCTACATTACAATCATAGTCTTAACATTTTTTTCGCAAAGGTATACTAAATTAAGTAGTTAACTGGACCTGTATTCCGACTAGATACACACTGACTCGATGACCCAGAAGCATCGCAATTGAAGTTACAGAGGTACTAAATCACCAATTTCAAACTCTAGCCATGATTAATTTCCAATACGATGCAAACAAACCAAATTTGAAGTTTTTAAACGTCAAAATTTCTTAACCCATTAAACGCTAAACTCTCCCTAAATTGAGCAACGCAATAAAAGCTGTGGATTATCTTTACAGATTACTTAATCTGCAGCGTGATTGAACAACCGGACTGCTCCGCTTCGTTAGATTCTATTACCATGGACTACCTACGCCAACCTTGAGAAACGTTTCTCCCTTATGATAAAAATAAATATGCTTTAATGTTATAAAAAATCTTGAAGTGTTTTATATTTTAAAGGACTCTTACACCTCGCTCCCTTCGGTCGCTCCGATTTAAATGGACATCGTCCTTTAAAGTATCTATACGCATAGTTATCTTAATAGCTATTATTTATTTATTACACTCTCTTATTTATATTTTACATTTGTACAGTACCGATGCCCGACGCAAGGTGAAGGCAATTCCTCCCTTTCCTACGATGGTATTTCGTCTTAACCTACCTTCTTAAATTACGCATTCATCATGCTTAGATGTCTTTTAACTTGGATCTAATGAACCGCTGCGCTACATTACAATCATAGTCTTAACATTTTTTTCGCAAAGGACTAAATTAAGTAGTTAATGGACCTGTATTCCGACTAGATACACACTGCCTCATTGTAGTTACCTGTAATGGAGACGCATTATGTTTTCTTTTTGTAGAAAAACGTTCACTCCATAAAGCGTTACAACATGTTGAACGATACATTCTAAATCAGATCCATATGCCCTATAACCAATTTCATCCATTGTTGCGGTTTGCAAACAAACATCTGTGCATCTAAAGCAAAATTAATTAACTATCATTTAATTTCATCCGTAAGTATTATAGGTTAGGTATAAGGTAGCCCAGAATTTCATCCTTCTTAGCTTCTTTAGTAGGTAACTGAAAAAACTGCAATCCTGGGATTAGTGTCTACTTCTTGCTGTAGCACACTTTTCAAATCATTAGAAACACCGATGCCTATGGTGAGACAGCCGACGATGCGAACTTATCGTTGAAAAGAGCATATCTGGATAGATTCTATCCAGACCCAGATCGCAGATCTCAAATCCATTCAGAATATTGCATCAATATTCCAAATCTTCCCAAGTTCTCCTGCACAGGAGGAAACACTATCCAAAGTTCGTCATTTTCATAATATTTCTGTACAGAAGAAAGCTCACTGGAGCTGTTACACAGTTGTGAGAAATTCAACGCGTGTTGTCCGTATTCGAAAAAAGTTAGTCAAGTTGGCGTAAAGGAAGCAGTTTTATTGCACCGTGAGGCCTTATGTCAAGGTTCTCTTATTATCAAAGTTAAATGTTTGTACCGTCCAAATAGCCACCGGTAATTCGTCACTTCATTCATCGAGCTAATGTTCTCTCTCTTTCAGGAATTTTGTTTAACGGTCTTTTCATGTGTATCGGAATAAAATGTTGGCATTGTCAATCATATAATTGTGCATTTACTCCAACCATTGTGTGACCTGAATATAGTTAATAGAGTTTTCATGTCAGATTTTTCTTCTCATGTCTAAAGGAAAGGATTTTATCAGATGTTTTAATGGAAATTTGTGTAGTTAATCCTTTAAAAGTTGATCGAGGCTACTGAGCCTCCCAAATTATTAATTTAAATCGATCTCCAGATTTTTCTTTGTTGCAGTTGCCAACAGTGTACGAGGGGAAATAATAAAAACTCTATGTGTCAATTTTGATTTGTTAGAGCTAGCTGGGCAGGTGTTTTGTGGGTGGTGTAGTTCTGCATACCGTTGCACACCGAAATATTAATATTACAGTAACATATTTGTATACCAAATTAGACTTCATATAAAAGGTAATGGCACCCCTTTGGAAATCTCGATCATATAGTATTAGCACTTATCGACCAATAACACACAACAATAAATTTGTATTATATAATCAAGTTTCATCGATTGATATACTAAATCAAAATCGTTCGCAAGAAGGTAAGTAATCCTCAAGATTCTCACCTGGAGTTTTCGTTAAGACCAAGAATCCTAACGCTACTCATCCTTCGTGTAAATTGTTACAAAGTATCTAAATCTTCATTCAGTCTCCTTTTTTAGCTCAGCAATCTCCCTTTGCATTTCCTTTATGTATATCTAAAGGATTTGTTTAACGTAGGCACTAGGAAGAAATTTAATGGATCCAGTGGACGAAGAGGTCATGACTGAATGCTAATGAAGCGATTTCCGAAAAATTATCTCAAATATGGAGATGTTTTGCCACATTTCTCTATACCCAATATTTGACGTTTGACTGCTTTTTTAGGGCCTTGTACCTATGACTTGAATTTCAAAAAGTCTTCCAAAATCAACAATACTGACGTGATGCTACATGAAAATGATTTATATTTTGATCGCTCTTACACAGGCTGTTTTAAAACGAATGATCAATTTTAATAACTTTAAACCTTAAAAAGTCGATTTTTTCAAATCAAGCCTGCTTTGTTTTTTTTCAGTTCCAAATGTAGAAAAAATTTTCATCGATCAATTACTACATTTCCCATACATACCTATCTGTTGTGCTTTTCGTTTTATTTCAGATTTTCTAAAATTGTGACCGTTATCTGCAAATATTATGTTCAATGATTCATCTGGAGCTGGTGGTAATATTCTTGGTATCGGTTCCAGGATTGCATTTCACGGTACCCAACCCCATTTCCGGGGCTCTAAATATCGTTGGATGCTATGCTACCCAATACAGTATGTAATTTTTTTACGGACCATATAAAAAAATGAGGTTGATGATGATTTTTCCGAAACGAAACGTTGTATTGAAAATCTCTTAAGGGTGTCTCTCTGTAACATCAGATGATACTTGTCACGAAGAGCACTGGCTGAATCTCCGGCTTATACTCCGATACGTGAAAGGTACGTTAAATTGCGAATTGGTGTATCCGTGCAGAGAACACCAGAAACCCGATAGTAGAAGTTTACGCCGATGCTGATTGGCCATTGATATCATCGGTCGGTAACCGGCGCGGCGCAGCCACCGAGGTGTGCGGCGCTACAATAAACTAAACACAATAATCCTAGAGGGATGAAACTGCTTTCGTCTAGCTTCCTACTTGTTCTACCATGTCGGTAAAGGAGGAGGAACAGAAATTCAATACAAGTGCAAATGCCAAATAAGAAAAATATATTTGTACAAATACCTAATTTTTGTACGCCACCCTCCCCATATTTATTAAACCAAATGTTGTTAAACAGAAGTTACAGACACCAGTACAATTCCTCTCATTAACGACGTTTATCTAGTACTTACTGTCAAACTGTAGTACTTTCTCAATTACTGGTCCTGCCTTTTTTCACAGTTTTCTTTCTCGTATGGCAATCCGAACTCCATTTAATGATACCAATACAACTTCATCTGCCAATTTGGGTTCATGCCTCGGTGTCGCAGGTAGTATTTCATAATGTTTCAGTAAAGTAACCAACACGTACTTCATTTCAAACATGGCAAACTTTTGTCCTAACAAATCGATCTTTAAATGCAAATACCGTATGTGTTATGGAACATTTTACCAATGCAATTCCTTGGACCTGCACTAAATGGAAGGTAGCTGCCCGCGACTTTAGAAGGATTAAAAAACCGTTCAGGGATGAATTTCTCCGGATCCTGGGGATGAATTCCATAAAATATCTGTTTCTTGGAATAGTCCGACCTTCTAGCAATAATACCTAAATGACTACTATGTATTTCTACCGGGGGATGTAACGGATATTTTAATTGGATGTGAACAGACTTATTTTCCATAACCGTCAGATATTCGTCTAGAATTTGTTGCTATAAAACACTGTCAGTAGATATTCGAATACGTTGTACTTATTTACCTGCACTTGGGGATGGTCTCCTAAGAGATATATGGTGAAGTTTAATGCTGATGAGGTGGTATCATGACCCTGGAATATAACATCAACGTTCATTCTATCAAAACTGGTCACTCTTTCGCACTAATCTAATTTCATTCTTATGACTTTACTTTTTCAAATTTGGCATTTGGCAACATGCAATTTTCATAAAATTCTTCGCTACGATGAATTCCATAAATGCATATCAATAATGAGGTGTTTCTTGGAATGTCCGACCTTCTACAACAGCAACATTATATCAATAATAAATGACTTATATATTACTATGCACCGTATTCAAAAGAGGACCCAGCTCGTGAAATGTAAGGAACCGGGGGATAAAGACGTAATGATTCCTTAATTACAGCATCCAAATATTTTAATTGGTTCAAATGTGAAATACTCAATACTTCAGACTTATTTTCCATAACCGTCAGATATTCGTCTAGAATTTGTTGCTATAAAACACTCTCAATAGATATTGAATACGTTTACTTATTTACCTGCACTTGGGGATGGTCTCCTAAGAGATATATGGTGAAGTTTTTTGCTGAATGACGATCAACCCTGGAATAAACGCCAAGCGTTCATTGTATCAAAACTGGTCATCTTTCGCACTAATCTAATTTCATTCTTATGACTTTACTTTTTCAAATTTGGCATTTGGCAACATGCAATTTTCATGGTTTTTGAGGGTGTCAAATGTTTAAAAGAGCCATAACGTCTTGAACTTTTTTGTTTGAGTTTTTCGCATAAACTGGCCTAAGTGGCTTAAAAAACTCTACAAAAAAGTTCGTCACAGTTTTTTTTGTGGATTTCTTAGTTTTTGAGAAGTTTTGAATTAAAAAGGTAAACTATTTATTTTATTTTTCTAAATTTGCATTTTTCTCGAAAAGTAATCATCAGAGTGTAAAATGTTAAATTCAAAAAAGATGTGTCTTGAAGAGCTCTACAAACAAGTCTTATACATTTTTGCGTCAGGTTCAAAATAAAGGCGCCAGGGGGCATTTAATAAATGTTACACTGACCAAAGATAATTGCCATGATTATATTAAAAGTAGTCGGAAAGTCAAGTTCCAATAAAAATGTTGCATTTAAATGTATAGCGGTAATTTTGGAGGAGGGGCTTCACTATTTCTGTTCAGAGAATAGACAATAACGAGATTAAAATCAAAAATTACTCACAGCAAATATCATCGTCTGTACATTGTCGTGTACTGCCTGATGCGTAAATGTTTGTTTCTTCAACTTCTCCTCTAAGATGAAGTCTAAAAACGTTAGGCTTCCGTCGCAATTGCCGTGGTTGTATATCAAATTGTGACGTTCTTTGATAATATTTTCAAAAGAACTGTATAGATATCGAAGAGCTTCTTTTTCTTCCTGATACAACTTTGTAAAGCTGTACAAGAAGTCGTTGAATAAGAATACATTAAAGCTTCTCTCCATTACCATTTTACACATAATCTTTAAACTGCTTACATACTGCGATTCCGAATTTTCCTGTGCGTTGAATGATTTTCCTAGTGCTGCTTCTGGAATTATCAAGACAGACACGAACCTGTATTTTGAATTTTAACTTTATGAAAATTTCTGATAATAGTAATCAAAACCACCGAACCAAAAAAAAGAAAAAGTACATGACCGACTTCGAATTATTGAGGATGAAGATTAGGTTGACCGAAAGCTGCTCTTCAGTTTCGTGTCCTGGTTTGTATTTGTTCCTCAGTAGTAAACGTATTAACAAACCAAAATGCAAGGGAGTAAATGTCATGCTACTGACTCGTAAAGCTGACAGCTGGCCCGTAAAAAAAGTTAGTAACAATTTCATTGACAGCAATTACTGTGTGTTTACCCAAAATCGTCATGAAACCTTCATTTCCATGCCTTCTTACTGTCAGTAAATTTTAGTTTCCCTGACAGGAGCAGAGCAGACTACGTTACTTGCCGCTTGTCGCTTTACTGGCCGCACCTGTCACTTTACCGGCCGTACTTACCAGAAATGATGTCTAATGAACACAGGGTGATAAACTTAGAAATATCAAACGAAGCCTTCCCCAACTCGCTTCTCAACTGCTTCACGAAGATGTTGCTGTTCCTTTCAAAGACAGAAATATAGTTATGATAAATATCTTTGTGAAAGGTGCGAGAAATTGCTTTCCTATGCGCCTTCCACTCTTTATCTGAAATTAATTTTGGCATTAACGTACCATGAAGAAGGTATTGGGCGAAGTTACCCCCATTTGAAGTTAACAGTCCATTTCCCAGCCAACTTCTCGCTGGGATGTACTCATGACCTTTGCTCATGACAATATTTGTTGTTAAAATGTATTCAACCATTTTACAATCCGAAATTAAAATTTTACGCAACGGCCCAAAGCGCAAGAGAACTATTTTTCCGTAGCTTGAATATTTTTGTATTAGAGGAATGAGATCTGGAACGGTTCAATAGATGGTTTTTGTAATCATTTGTATAATAAACAATAGGTTCTCACCCGATGAATTTTTAAACTGCAAGGCGTGACCCAGAACAGGTAATCCGTGCGGACTTAAAAATTGTTCGTTAACTTTGGACCATTTTTTGTATTTAAGGTATAATGCTACAGTAATTAAGAACACCACTATAAACACAAAGTGCATCGTCATTAAACTTCTAAACAAGACTAGTGATGTAATCGATATACGTAATAATGTTAAAAGTGTAGTCCTTAACCTTGAATTTTAATCTTTACCGAATTTCCTAATTATTTATTCATCTTTTTCGAAATAACATCAAGAAGAGGTGGAAAGCGTTCAGTGCCAACTACCTGTGTACGAACCTTGGTTTGGTTATTAGGTGAATTGGACCGAGAGATAAGGACAGATTTGTGCGATGATTAGTAAACGTCTGTCTCCACAATTTTCTCTTTACATAGATTAGCACAATCGTAAAACGTATACCGTAAAACGGGGCTACTACGTGCAGGTTTTGAGGTATTTTTGATCCTGGGCGCTGTATGTTTAATCGATTCGACTTGAAAAAAATCTTGGGTAGCAATACAGGTAATACCTAGAAACTACCAAAAAAGGTTTTTTTTAAGACATACCGTTTTTGAAATAAAAATTAAAAAAGTGGATGCCAAAGAAGCCCCGTGGTTGGGGTTACATTGGCATCTAAACAGAAAAATAAAAAAATAATGTAGTCCCATCGTGGGGTTACAGTGGCACCAAATTATCGTTTTAAAAAAATTTTACATGAAACATTCATATAGTTTTCTATTAAAACTTGGTCATTCTCCATAAAAATAACACCTTTATGTTTTTTTTCAATAAGTAACAACATGTTTTTGCAACATTCACAAGGTCCTGGCTTATTGTTGAGCCATTCCGAAATGTTCATACCTTCGTTTTGCTACATATTTTTGTGCAATTTCGCTGGTGTCACTGACAGTAACGGAAAAACCCCAATTTTCTACCTGGTTGATGGTCTCCAATATTTGTGTCTCCTCCTATGGGGATAGAACCATCGGATGACCTACACGGCCCACAGGTCTCACAAATAGACTGTTTTAAAGAGTTCCACCAGGAACATTCAAGCGTTGGGAGATTGTTACCTGAGACATCCTTTCCACTCTACCACCTTGCACTGCATCAGCCGACTCTTGGTTTGTATAGTTTTTATATGGCCTTGAGGGGCAATAGCCGGCTTGTCCGCTTTTGGAACTTACTTTGCTCGCTCTTGAAATTTGACGCAATATAGCAATATAGCACGCTCATAAATGATCAGATATAAAAAAAGGTGCATTCGGAATTATGTCAAATATTAGAACTGGACTACATTCACGATTGTGTATAAATTATTTTCTCTGTACAGGGTTCCCAAATTTAGCTGATTGTATGGGGTAACTCGAAAACGATGAGTAATAGAAAAAAAATTGGCATTGCATGTATTTTCTGGGATAAACTAGCCTACGGCTTTTTGTTTTTGCAAGGTGCATTTTTCCATTTCATATAATTTCTTTATTTATTAATTTATCGGAAATGTGTTTATTACAATTAATGATTGTTGCATAATCTACCGTTTTCAAAATAAGTATATGGGGCCAATTAAAAATGTTAGTATATGGGGCCAATTAAAAATGTTAATCTGATCTGATCCAATCTGATTTGTGTTCACTTTCTAATAATTATATTAAATTATCATTTCAAAACTAAAGCACACCAAGTATGATAAAAAAAAGATTCAAGTGATTCAAAAAAATTCAAAAAGATTTTTAAAAAATTTTTAAAGATCAAAAAAGGTTCAAATAATCTGTAAAAACTTCTTTCTAATCTTTTTTTAATTAAATCCTTTTAAAAGATGAGGTTATGTGTGATAATTCCTTTACTCCCCGTATACTTATTTTAAACGATTGTCCAATTTCGATTTCAACATCGAGTTTATTTCAACACAAAAATCCAGATCTCCATGACCGTCAGTCCGCCTGTCTGTGAACTCACTTCCTGCCAAACCACTGAACCGAAAGTACCTAAAGTTTGGTGCACGTGTTCTTAGGCGAAAGGATGAACAACTGAAAAGCTTTTGAAAATGTGCTTATTTTTTTATTTAATAAATTGAATTAAACGTTATCTATCAAAGTATACCAAGTGTATTTTCCAAGAAAAATGAATTTCTTCGGCGGATGGTATTTGACACAGGAAATTATTTCGCCCGCCCGCTCGTAGATTTATTGGCCCGGTCTTAGTAATTAATCTGGCTACGCTTGAGCAAAGCTCAGGTTAAATTTTTCGGTGCAAATGGCCATTAGTCTTCCCCACTGTAAGATGGAGCAAAGGGAAACCCATGCTCTTCATTTTGTATTCAGCAACCTGTTGCGAAAAGACATAATAATATCAAGAGAGTAGAAAGTCTTCTTAGCCACAAACGAGATCATTATACAACCGTTGTGTATATGTTTTTATAAACAAAAGTAAAAAATAAACCAAAATACGAGTAATTTGTTATTTACATTAATATATAAGTTGTTTTTGTTCTACAGTTCTAATTAAATCTTTTTGCCAGTCTTATACAAACACCATTCTTTGATTTAAGCACAGTTTCTCCTTTCAATATGAGTTTATGCTCTGGCACAGTTGGAAGTAACCTGTAGTGCTTCAGTATCTTCGAAACCACGACTTTCATTTCCAGCATGGCAAACTTTTTCCCTAAAAGTATAAGAACATTGAATGATCAATAGAGTCACCTAGCTACCGATGCAACTCCTGTATCCCGCACTGAAGGGTATATAAGAAGATGTAGATGCTGCCGATTGGTTTTCGGTAAGGAACCTGTTCGGATCAAATTTTTCTGGTTCGGGGTAAGTTTTAGGGCACCGATGCACCCCGTATGCAAAAATTACAATAGTCGTATTGGCCGGTATCACTTGATCACCTATTAACTTTTTTAATACGCAAATGTTACGGAACAAAATCTACCAAAGTGTAAATCTTCGACTACACGTCTGCAATAAATGGGCACAGATGGGTACAACCTTAAGGTCTCTTTTATAACAGCTTCTAGGTACCTTAACTTCTGTAAACGTCCATATGTTGCTACATTTAAGTTATGCGACCATAATATCGCTTCCATTTCTTTGACAACACGCTCCTATTAAAATTATTTATGTACTATTCTCTTTTATCAATTTAACTATACCTGCACTTGAGGATGCATTGCGAGGCAATACAATATAAAGCTGATGGCAGATGTAACAGTGTCATGGCCCTAAAGAGATTCACTCTTGATGTTGTAATCATTCAAGAAGCATAATTAATTACCGCAAACATAAACGTGTCTACTTCTTCCCGTATTTCGCTGTCGGAGATACCAACCTTTGTTTCCTTCGAATCAAGAAGCAAATCCAAGAGAGTGTTACTGGAGGCTTGTTCGCTACTTCCCAACAGTACTTTTTTTCTGAACTCTATGACATTGCGACTATATTCGTGCAAAATCTTGAGGGCCTTATTTTGTTTATAGAAATCTTTTGTAAACTGATATAGAAAATCGAACGACTTGGGAATTGATAACGATCGCCCAATGACTATTCTACACATTTCTTTCACGCTGTACACGTAATCCGATTTGTCATTACTTTGTGCGTTTATTGTTGTTCCCATTGCAGCCTCTGATAAGAAAGCGAAGAATAATATTGGTAAATGAAAATGTAGACCTACCGCAAATAATGTCCAAAGTACATAAATTAATATAAGGGTAAATATTCACTGTTCCTTCGCCGACTTTCTTTGATAGCTTTTCCAAAAGCACACAACTGTGTTTTTCAAAGATGTCAATAAAGTACTGCGATTTTTCAAAACTAAATGCTGGTGCGATTAGTTTTCTATGCTTTTTCCATCTTTCACCTACAACAAAACGCACCCTTCACACAATTCTATGATATTGATTCAAAATTCAACAATACTGAAGCATTGTTCACCTGGTGCAGTCAGTAGACCGTGTCCTAGCCAGGGGTGCGTAAATCTGTAATCGTTGGATTTGTTGAGAAGTGCTGCAGATCGAAAAATGGTTTCCAGAAGGGCGTGATCTGTAACAGACACGTTTGGGGGTTGGAAAGGTAGTAGAATTTTAATAATTGGACCATGTTGTTGGTGTAGCCTATAGAATTCGCTTATTACGTCTGGAACAAAGACCTGTAATAAGCTAACTTATTATAACAAAGAATTTACCTCCCGAAATGAACTCCAACGCATTTCCTAAAACGGGCAGGGGTCGAGCGCCATTAATCCAATCCAAATATTTTTCATTTGTATAGTAGTCTCGAAACCACTGAATTATTAATAGCATGAGCAAAGTCAAACAAATCGCCGTAATAAGGATGTACAAGTACATGACCGCGCGTTGTTAGCTTATCATTAACTGGGTGCACGGTCCAGCTTTGTCAAATTATACAAAAGGTCACAAGATTACGAGACTGTTAATGATAACTCTTGAGTTACAAGCGAGGGGAGGAACAATACTAAAGTTACATCCCAAGGCTAAAAGTGTACTTGCTTTTATTTTTGAGTATTTAAAAAAATGTGTAGAAATTTACAAGAAGTCTAACACAGCTTTAGAACGTAGTCCAGGAGGCAGCGACATTTTTTATGCACTCATTTCTATAAAGCTGATATTCTGCCATGTTATTGTTTTGATAGTACAAGTAAACAAAACGGTAGTCTACCGCGTCGGCGGTGTTGCCTAAATTTGCAACAATGTTCTGAACTTGTTAATAAATAATATGGACATGCCTTATTTCTACAAGAATGAAAATTGCACAGTAATTAAGTATACCTAACAATGAAGTATGGTAATAGTCTACCGAGCTGGAAGCGTTGCTATCACAAGTCTACCACCCACGCAAGATGAATAAAAAATTATTCAATTGAACTTATTTCTACAAAGATGAAATTTTTGTTGGAAAAAGTTGATGTCATAATAAACCAAAAAAAATTGGTCTACCGATCGCGCAAAGTTGCTAAGGTCTCGGTAGACACGCTGGAAGGTACGACTTTCCAAGCGCAGCTGCTGCACTGCTCTGCTAAAAGTACCTCTAAATTATTATATACACGGTCATAAAATAAAAATATTTCAAAAACCAACATTAACATGGGAAAAAGGTTTTTTGCAGATCGTTGCTCCCCATGATAATTTAGGTCTTAGCGGGTTTATAATGACACCAATCGTAAGAAGATTTTTTTCCTTATCTAATGATATACGTATTAGTTCATTTTCAGTTGTATTTCTCATTATTAACGATCCTCGAGATCGTTTATAATTTTGTATTGCTGTCTGTCTGTCCGTGCGTCTATTCGTCTGTCCGTGTACACGACAACTCATATCTGAATAATTTCATTGACATTCCCTATTTTGTGTCAAAATTTAATGCTAGGTACTGTTCATAGAAAGTCGTGAACAAAAGTACCAATTTCCATACGATTTTTTGACAAGAAAAGCCCGGTAATTTGATAACTATGCAAAATATTTAATTGACTAACCTGTTGAGAAGCGAGATGTTTTAGTTTTCAGTCTATGAATTTGAACGTTTTTCGTATTTAGTTTTTTCTCAAAGTTTTCAACTTGTATGTAATATTATTTCTAGGTAATTTTTGTGGTTATGGCATTATGAGGTAGAAGGGCCACCTTCTTTGTAATTTAAATCTTGAAAAAATGTATCAGTCATTTTAACGACAAAAAATAACATGGTTACCATGTACATGGTAAGCCATGAAAATTTTCTAAAGAATTGACACAGACGTAGTGGGACGCTCATTAAAATGCACGAAAAACAAACATCGCGTACAGTAACTATTTCCGCCTGCGTTTATTATAAATACCAGCTTTCCCCAGTGAATAAATTTTACAAAAAAAATTATTGACAGTTGTCGTAAACTGATATTCATTTCGAATTGAATAACGAATAATAACGAATTTTTAATAAAAAAATCCGATACAACTGAATACCGAATGATCCTCGAGACCTTCACGCATCATTTTTATAACGCGCCTTGGGGGGTTGATTCTGTCCCACCAGATCGGAATAGCTTCTAAAACACATTGTTTGAAACGGAATTAGTTTTACTTTTAAAAGAGGTTCCTAGATTCAAAATTTCGCTTAAAAATCATAACAAACAAAAAAAGACAAGATTGCGTACTTATGCACTAAGCAAATTTTTTGATTCGGCGTTAATTTTACTTTTACTCGAGGTGCCTACATATTAAATTTCAATTAAATATCTTAACAAATAAAAAATACTGGGATTGCGCAAATACAAAAGTTGGGTTGCACATGCGCATTTTTTTATTCACCTGCATAGTTACCTGGGGTTTAAGGAACATTTACTAACACAGAAAACCGGGCATTCATATGTTCTTTGTAACAAGAATTATAAAAGAAGCCCTTTTTTGGATTTGAGAAGTTTTTGGGCTGTAACTTTTTGCCCCGTTAGTCTACGTAGCTGAAAAACAATAGCGACCTTTCTTATATCCTTAAGAACAGGCGTTTCAATTTTCAAAGCGATAGGACGTTTCTATACAAACTTATCGTGCACACGGACAGACAGACAGCAATACAAAATTAAATATCTCGAAGATGGTTAATAATGATAAATAGAACTGAAAATGGATTCATTCGTATATCATTATATAAAGAAAAAAATATCTTCTTTCGATTGGTGTCATTATTACGAAGGCGGAGAACGGCCACATGTAGTAATTTTTAAACTCGGAATTTAGTTAATTTCCGACTTCGGGATACTGGCAAGTACCACTGGATGATGCGTCCAAACCTTTAACCGCCTTCACGACACCTGACGGAGCCGCCTATCAATTCCCGCTTTGGAGTACAATCCATTCAGTACCTTGGTCACAACATTGAAGCAGACGGCAACAAACCGCTACGGGAGCACGTCGAAGCCATCCGCACCGCCGAAGCGCCTAAAACAAGGAAGCAGCTGCGTAGTTTCCTGGGACTGACTAATTGGATCCGAAACTACGTCCCGCGATGCGCAGAAATGCAAGGCCCTCTCGACGACCTACTGCGGAAGAACACGCCGTACGGATGGACCGAAGCAGCCGCCGAAGCATTCGCTCAACTGAAAGACGCCATCAGCCAACCCCTTAAGCTGTGCCGTCCGGACTTCAAGCTGCAGTTCAACCTACAAACTGACGCCAGTAGCAAAGGCATCGCAGCCGTACTATACCAGGAGGCCCCGTCCCAACCAGCGCAACATCATAAGTTACGCGAGCGCAAAACTAAACGGAGCACAGAGCAAGTATCATGTGAATGAACAAGAGGGCCCTTTCGGTCGTCTGGGCGGTCAAGCGATACAAGCCATTACCTGGAGAGACAGAAAGTTCACAC